CGCTGAACGTTTGTGCGTCAGACTGGAAATCTAGATAATAATTTATTATTTGGTATGTCACCGTTCGCATTTGCAAAAGTCACGAGTCTGTTTATCGTGCTTGGTCCAAGTTCATCGCTCTTAAGATGCCGTCGATACCGTTCGATGTAAATGTAAATTGACATCTGGCAACGATGGATCGTACGTCAACGGTACGCCAGCACCGAAAATTAGGGCTGATATTAATAGACCCTGAGTGAATTATTACTGTTCCATCGTATACTGGTTGCGTGTATTACGCAAGGACATTGTGCGCTCATTCGAAGCCACCCAAAATTTCATCCATCCGAATCGTCGCGAAAAGCTTCCCGCTCGCGTTCATCAAATATCGTGCGATTAAACCGTTTCGAATTGTCCTCGGAGATACACGTGTTTATTAAAGATCGCGCGAATTTCAAATTTTCATCATATTCGTGAAATATCTTGTTTTTTCACTTGTGTCTGAATTTGACTTTTTCGTCACGGAGATCTTTCAATTTAATCTTCAAACCGTGCGTCGGTTTATCGAAAAAACAACTCTCACGAGAGGCCTAGCTTACGAAACGCAAACTCGGCCTTGCTACAACGACTGGAATTAATATTTGAGAGAGATATATGCTGTACCACAACCGGTACTCCGAAGGTTGAGTGTCTCTGTTCTGTGTCGGACGTTTATGACACGAAATTTGCTGCAGATATCCGTTTCCCCGAAAGAATAGAATCGCGGTATTTGCTTCTAAACTTGCCTCTCTGTTACGGTTGCCGTAGAATCCCCTTGATAGGATAATAAAACTCTGACACGTTTGTAAGTGGAAAACACGATGATAGCTTGTTCGAACTGTAATTAAACTTTGAAATATAAGCATACGCGGTTTTGTTAGTTAAAGCAAGATACATTGTGCAGCGCGCGATCGATTATAATCTACAGCCGTCGCTTTTGAGTTCTGAAATCAAGTAGTGTAGCCGAGAAAAGGTCAGACATTTAGCTCCTTGATACGAGAGTTCCATCTCAGAAATTGATTCCAGCCACGGTACCAAAGAATTTTTATTTTGGTGCTTTCAAGGATTGAAGATCACCAGCAGAAAGTAAGTAAATAGAAACATTTCGAGGAAGAGAAGATGAAACAAGCAGTTTCGCTTCGACGCAACTCTGCTTTTACGTATTCAGTGGATGCACGAGACCGTGTCTTTTCGTTAATTTGTTAAAATTACTCGCTTTTCACGAATAGAAGTAAATAATTAACCAATTATGTACACTGCTGCTCTCACAATGTTTAATCGTTCCAATTTATTCGAACAACGATCAATAACTCTGCTAGCGTAGTTAGACTCTTGTTATATGGTCATGAATGGGGCTGTAAATCCAACGCGTGACAATACAACGCGGAACAATTTATCGAGCAGTGTAACCTAAATGCAGTTCTTGAAAGAAATTCCTGAGTAAAAGAAAGCCACGGATCTTGCGCGTGAACCTGATACAAGTATAAATTCGAAACTTCCTTTTATCTTATGTGACCAAAGATATATTTCCTGTCTTAACCCGGGGCTAAAAGAATCCCGATAATTCGGATAAAATGTGAAACCTGTCTGAACGTCGGTGAAAGAGGTGATTTTTTTGATCGAGGCAAAGTGAAGAATCGCGTCGGGTACTGTCGTAGAAAAGGATTCTTCTCCTCACATTTGACTTTTGCAAGCGCAGCTTGGCGATGATCGATGTCAAGAGTTCTTGTAGATTCTAAAATCGTGTTACGAATTTCGCTCGTTATGGAGACGGCGGCAAATCGAGAGAACGGTTTACCGTGTCGCGGACAAATGAAAGAAAATTGTGCAAATAGAGGTACAGGAGGCGAAAAGGATCGTAGCTAGCCAAGGACGAGCCACGAAAAATATTAATTATCGTTCCAATTAAAACTTCGACAAGATCGTTCCCGTTCCGCAATTAATCGTTACACCTCGCTAAATTAATTAAACGCTTTCGAAATAATCACAGCGAGTACCTCGTTCGGGGAAGTAATAGTTTTATCGACAAACGATCGATATTATACTAGGTGTTTTAAAACGAGAGGAAGAGTAAGTTTGGTCCCTCGAAATTTTCGCGATTATAAAAATTCTACGGAAACGATAACGATGATTCGAATCACGCTAAATTTACCTGTTGGTTAGGGGCATAGTGGTAAAACCAATTTCCGTGCTCTATTCACGCAGCATGCAGTGCGATTGGTTCATCGTGGTGCATTTAACTGGCGGCTATATTTAGCCCTCTGCTGATCGACCAATCCTTCGCGCAACAGTTCCATCGAAATTAACATTCACGCAACGAGCTACAACGCACTCGCATTTAAATGGACGATCTGCTTAAGCATAAACCTCAAATTTACCTTACAATATTCTCCCGATAACAAGATCTATATTTTTAACGTCTGATTTTTATCCCTCGGTCAGTTGATTGCGCCTGTTGCTACGTCCTCTGTTCTGTACATAGGTATACCTGTTACTCGTAAGATCAACCGTTTAGTTACTTTCAGTATCTTGAATCAGACCCGTATCGAGGACACGATCGCGAGTGATTACTCGCGGTTATTACATACACCATCTACCCTTTGATCGCGCGTTGATCGATCAAAGATTGTCATTTGCACTTTGATTCGAACCGCTATCATACGAAGCACGTACACCTTACAAAATCAGCACAGAGAGGTCATCGTTCAATCATGAATGTTTCATTTACCATTTTCAACTTACTTCCTCAATCTCTAAAGTCGCAGTAGAACAAGTCGAACATCGAACACGAAACGTTACTGTTGTCGCGTGACAATTTGGTGAAGTTAAGCTCTATTCCCGTGTTATCACTCCACATTGTCGTTTTCATTACAGTGTACCATAATTAAAAGATCTTAACACCTTGATTGACGTAGCAAAGATTACCGTACGTGGTACTTTATGATCGCAATTATCCAAAATACGATCGTAGGCGTGTTGACCGGGCAGTAGTATGATCTCGAATTAGTCAGACAGTGGCATAAGAATGATAGACGAGATAATTATCTCTGTAAGCACGATTCAACTGCAACGTGTCACGATTCGAATGTTCCACATAATCGTTACATATTTTATTCGCAAATTCCTTGTTCGTGCATAAACTTCTGTGTATTTATTTCTGTGCTTTCCCGTTGTGACTTCCATGCAACGCTGAAGCATCTTTCATTAATGATACGAAATTCTCTGGGTAATTGCTTCCTACGCGGAGTACGGAATTAACAATCCGGGGTTCATTTTAATCTAAAATTGGTTCATCAGGCTGAATAGTAATAACAGTAGAAGCACGATACTCGTCTCGAAATCGTTTAAATTTCTATCGTTTTCAAACGAGCATACGTCCGAGAGGCTGGAACTTTATCACTGGTTTCCAATTAGGTTTTATGACTGTGTTCGATCACGACGAACGCGTTCTGTTTGTCCAGAGACTCGGTGTTTCTTCGTGAAACAAACTCGCGGATCTTTTCTTCTTCGCACAAAAAGGTTCACGGTCATTTTCACCGCGTACACGATACGGCCGCGAAAGGAAAGGGGACAAAGTTTAAAGAGAGAAACAGATATCTGTTCGAATATTTTAAAGTTAATACACTAGCATACGAAGAATTAATTTTCCGATTCGATGCCTCAATTTGATAGCTCGAAATTGTTTATCGCGACTCAACAGGTAACTTTTAATTAAATTAAGCGCCGTTCGGATCAATATTTTTTTATTGTGTTTGCGTTCATTTTTATGAATAGGTCACGAATTTAATTTTATCGTTCGATTGTTCCACTAAATTAAGTTGGCGCGTAAACGCCTCGGAGGTGGGTGATAATCTACAAATTTCGTGTACTTAAATTAGTTCGAAAACAACGAAGGTAAACCGTGACATTATAATAACAATCTAAATACGTGCTCGACATCCTACGTGCTCCACGCTACGTGCAGAGGAGCACGCTGGTCCTTAGCAGGTTCCGTCTTACTACGTGTGTCCATTTCCAGTGTGTCGCAATTAACGTGTTAATAGCGAAGTACTCGATAAAGTCGAACGTCTGCCCACGCGTTCGCGAACAAGAGAGGGACGGTGGGTTAGAGAGACGAGACAGTAGTATAGTGGCAGAGCAAGTCAGACATGCGCTCTTAAGAAGAGAATCGCGGCAGTGAAAGAGCTCGAGAGCAAAACCCACGTTTCAGTTAGTCGCGTGTGCTGGCACCGCGCGCACATCGTTCGAAGGAAAGTCGGTGAACACAATGGCCACCGAAATCCTCGAGTTCGCGAACAATACCTTTTTTCCGACTATACTGTCCCACATAACGTGAACGCGTATTGTTTCCCCGTGAATCCGAGCGAGAAAAGATGAAGTCAGTGTCGAGAATCGGAAGGGACACATCGAACTCGAGTTACGATACCGGTAGGAATTCACGAAAGTGTTCTACCAGCCTGACTTTTACGAGATTCGTGCTGAGAATACTACGGTCTATTCATTGGCACATTTTACCCCGTCCCCGTAGCCAGAAGCAGTAACGCGACAATCGTTTTAATTGTCGTCGCTCGAACGTCTCGTAAATCTGTCGCTAATCTACTTTTAATGTTCGTGTAATGGTTGAACGAAGACGAACGGTGTTTTCGACAGTTTTCGGACTCACCGCTTAACGAAGAACAACGATCGTTCCGATTAAGGAGAAGCATTGTGTTCGTGCCACTTCAGTTCGTGCAATTGTATCTCAATTATATAGATCTTCTCGACCCACTAGCGAAATACACGTTTTTCTTTCTTTCCTTTAATGATTACCAATCTCTTTTGTTCCGAGAAGAGAAGTCTCGTAGAAGACTGCCGGTGTCGTAAAGCACAATTTTCATGCATAATCGAGTGCCATTTCCGCGAAGTATGCACGAAAATTCGTTGGCGGATCGTCGCGTTTATTCTAGCCATGATCCGAAGAAACGAATAACCTGTGTCGATACCGATGTTTAAAGTTCGTGTTCGTACTCGGTGCAATTCGGTGTTTCCTCGATCGCGTAATCAACGGCAAAGCAACATTTGCAAATATCGCCGGGCGATATTGTTAATTGCCTCGTGGCAATTAGCAATCAAAGGATACCCGCTCAAGCAAAATAATGACGGAATCGCCAATACCATCGGTCAGCAACACTCAGATCCAGACGCAAACCAATAACCAATCTCATACACAAATCCTAACTCAAGATGACAAGAGCGAGAAGACGGAAAAGGCTATTCTTCTGGTAAATTAGCGTTCACTTCGTAACTTTATTATTTTTACCAATTATGCGTAGCAGATTAATATAGTTCTATTTGCTTTCTTTCTATGAAATATACGAACGCTCGAACTATCCTTTAAAAAGTTTTTATTTCAGTCAAAGATGAATTGCTTGCTCGAAAGCAGCACGAAAGAGTTATCTTATCACATTTGTACTTTATTGTTTGCAAATGGTATTCTCTCTTCACGCTTCGCAACCAAAGGTTATCGTACTATCGTACATCTATCGGGAATATTAATCATTTGCCTTTGCAGTCGGTGATTAGGCATCTGTTCAGTGATTATTCAGTTTGAACGGTATTCGGTGAATACTGTCAGTTTACTACCTTAATCAAACAATCGAAGAATTATTAAAATGCTGCACGCATAAATCTGCCGTCATATTTTTTGATTCGCATTTTATTCGAATCTCTGATTACAACTTGCGCAGTCAATTTAGTAGTTTTCTTTTCTTTCGTTAGCGAATGACTCTTATTAAATTAGCATAGAACAACGTGCATTCTATGCTCGAGGAAACAATCATTCGAATAAGCGGTTGTACCGTTTCACTCGGTTTATCGTTGGTATAATCATCGGTCACGTAACAAATTGCTCGGTTTATGATCACGGCGATGTTTAATCTCCGGTTTTGCGAATATCGCGGTACGGTTACACTCCGAAATCGAAGGAAAACGGGGTTAATTGCGCGTTTTGCTTTTATTTCGTAGCAAATTCAGGAGATCAACAACCAAGTGGCGCAATATCGTGATCTGCTGATAAACATCGGCCAGCCACGAGACTGTCCAGAACTACGGGAGAAAATTCGAAGATTACGACGAAATTGTGTGGACGCGTGTAAAAACGCGTCTCAGCTCATACTGCCACAAGTGCGAAGGTTTGTCCACTTTATTCCTTCGTTTAATACATTTCCAAGAACAACGATTAAGCTTGCTAATCGGTTACGAAAAACAGTAAGACACCGCAACACGGAACGGGAAAGAAGAAGAAAGGCGATACCGAACGATTGATTAACCAGTTTATGTCAATTACTCGGAATCGAGCGTCAGACGTAGGAACACATCAAACTCGAATTGCTTCCGGTTAATGAGATTCCAGTTAACGCGATAAATAGATTCCAATGATAAACGCCAGACCACCGTCGTGCACGCGTTTCTTCCCTGCCTGATGCCAGTTAACGACGAAGATTCATCTCGATGATACTCGAAAACCCGTTATCTTAGCTCGGAAATCCCTAAATAAAAGCTACTACCCCGCCTCCATTGTGCCAGAGGATTTATCAGACTTATTATGATCCCGTTTTTGTTCGGTAAATTACATCTTTTCAGCCGGGACACGAATCGATTCCTCGCGGACAAATTGTTGTCTTATTTTTTGTTATCGTCATCGTAAGGATAATGTTACGTCGGAAAATTACTTTTTGAGACTCTATTTTTGCTGACTAATAAAGATATAATGCATACGTGAAGGAATGTAACAACTGAAAAGTGAACACGCGAAGATGCAACGCATAGAAACTGCGTTGTATTTCTTATCGTAATTGAATTCTGTGCGAAGCACAGAAGAAGTAAACTAGAATCGGCCAAAGAAGAGAATAATAGTATCAAAAAAGTTGTATTGCTTGGAGACGTGTGCGGCAAAGAATGTTATCGATTCCGAGGTATCGGTTTCGTAGAGAAGCAAAAGTGAGCAAGGCTTGGTCTCCAAAGATTGTCATCGCGTTTTAAAACGAAAATTTTCTTACGGGAGTTTGCCCGTTCTGATGAAAAGCTAAATGTTTCATGAGCTCCTTTGCACGTTCTCGTTAATTCTTCTCTCCGGTGATTTACAACGAGAAAGTTGCTAGAGCCAGTTCGGATTCCCGGCTTGTTCGATGCAAATGCGCGTCGCACAATTTTCCACGAACTTCTTTGATAAGAAATCAAAGAAACCTCCCTGTGAATCGTATCCGATGGAATCACGAACGGATTCTCGTAATCTCAAGTCGTATCATGGAATGCCACGTATACGTTGGTTACATGATTAGTTACATAATTTTGCTTAATTGTAAAGGACCACCGCTTATACGCAAGACTCGCATCCCTCTCTATTCACGTAACATTGCCGCGTAAATTCTACTACGTTCCAAATGTCAAACACACGCTTATTGCGATTTAAACGTTGTTCGAACAATAATTCTACGCAAATCGAATCGTTTGGTTGTCGTGCCGTATAAACTTGTAAAAAGAGAAAAGGGGAAAAGTAATTATTCGAAGCGGAGGTCGAATTTCAAAGCGATTATCAACGATTTCCTGAAAACGCGTCGTTGAAACACGTAACGCTTTCAAATCTGTTTGATTTATCCCGTGTGCAATTTTTACCAATACTCTCGTGCAATATTACAGGCATATCATGCGCAACGTGCCTTACGAAATCACGCAACTTTTATATCGATTATACGGGCACGCGACACGAAACGTCGTCTTGTTTCATGTTTTCGTAAAAAAAAAAAGAAATTGGAGTATGTGGAGTAAGCTGTATTCCTTTTACGACGCCTCGAAATGGTTCCAACGATATCGCGCACGATTTTGCAGAAACGTTTATGCGAAAGTTACCTTCGAGCTTGCAATCAAAACCAGTCGCGCTTTTTCCATAAATTACAGGTTTCAACTTGCAGGACAGGGGTTGCTATTACGCGACAATCTATGGCTAGTTATTCCTGCTAACAGATAACGTGGAAATGAAATTTGACCAAGTTTTCTCGATAACAATCGGAGACTACGATAGAGTAGAAAATTAAACGGTAAACGCGAGCTGTCTCCGACACCTGCCATTAAACATGCTGGAAATCGATGTCTTCCACTTTCTAGCGTTTTATTAGATTTTTACGATACTAAATAATGCTTCTCGACTACGGACGATCAAACGCCAGGATAACGTCTTCCGTTTCGCTAATAAGTTTAATCTTTACTCGAAAACAAATACACGGTTTAATCAATTTCAATTTATTTCTTTTGTCCAGGGCTGTTTTTCAGTTAAAATGCACGAGCTGCTTTAACGATCTAACTTTTTTTGTATATTTTACATCGTGGAAATTTTTATTGAAATTCTTATTGAAAGCTGATAGAAGCTTTGCGATAAGGCGGATAAATGTTATTCGACGTCCCTTTGTCTCCGTCCACTTTCTGCACTTCTCCGTGCTCTGTTAAATTAATAGAACATTTTAATAATACGACGTTCAAACACTGCAGACTTTGTTACAACTCGGGAGGAAAAAATATCGTCGTCGGACTCGAACGGTGTCTTCCATAGATTCGACACTAGATTGTAAAAAAATTGAGAAAAAAAGTAAGAAAGAAAATTTTCCAGCCTCATAAGCTTCCAGAGACGAACGTTTGTTCCGCGATCATGACGTACCTCGTTATAATTCCGCGATCTTATGCTCGGTTTCTCCTTTCCGTACAAAAATAAAGGAAAATAAATGCCACAACCGCAAAGTAACACGAAACAGCCTCGTGACTAAATGAATCGGACTTCGTGTCGAGTTTACTGGAACGACATTAAATATTTCTCGTTCAACGAACGAAAGGATTAAAAGCGCCCCTTTAATACGTAAATCTTCTTTGTTCGTCGCAGAACAGTTACGATACGGTTGTTCGGGTTACTCCGTCGTTCGCGTGTTTACTCTAACCGTCGAACGACGAACGACCGGGTCAATTATGGGCCCAGACGTAGGAAACTTATACAAGAATGCCACGACCAAAATTAAGCTCTCAAATTTTTCAACGAGAAACGTTCGTGCATCGGAAAAATAAGGAAATAGTAAAGATAAGGAAAAAGAAGTTAAGATCAAATTGAAACGCGAGCGTGATTTCCATACAAATTCATCGGCCGTATCGTTAGAAATTGCTTACCTAATTACTTGAAAGCGTGGATGACAGAGATGTATGGGTGACGACTGAATTTCCATGGGAATTCATCAGCCAGCTCGTTAGAACTTCTTTTGCTTACCTAATTAGAAAGCACCGTCTAATGAAACTTTCAAAGACTTCGACCTAGCAATTAACGTGTTGCATAAACTTTTGAGGATTCTGTCGAATTTTCTTAAATTATTGATAGCCAGGTTCAATTAGCTGAATAAACTACGAAATCGAGAGTTATCGACTACGAAACGAAAATCTAACCGGATAAATAGCGAGGGAAATCTTTAACGAGAAAACTTGGTAGGCAAAAACTCGACGCGTGAACGATTTCTGATTTCAGAACTACGGATATCGGTATACCTGTGGACTGTCCCAATTTGATGCTGCTCTTTTACGTTGCTCAGTTATTTCTACGCGAACTGGGCAAAAGTAAAAAGCTCATTCGTAACGTACCCATGGACATGACCGAATACGGTAAGTTCAACGATTCTCTTTCGTTTTATTCGCGAAAGATATATCGAACGGTTACGTCCGGAGCGTTTCAATTAACCGAATTCTGCGGCTCTTTGCCTAACGAGGAATCTCCTATAAACCAATAAATTCACTTTTACCGAAAATCCGGTTACACGAGACATGTTACGCGTGACAATCGGATACGAGCTTGAAAAGGTTATACGAGGATTTTTCGATCGAAAGATCATTTTCGTCTTGCGTGATATGACTCGTGGAAATCCAATATATCGAGATCTAAAACGTCGAGATGCAACGGGTGGAAATTTGACGCACCAGATTCTACAAGTAGAATTCGATCGCGCGAAATTTTTGCAAGTTCCAATGAAAATTCGACTTGGAAAAACATCAACGGATCGAACGCGTAACCAAATCGTAGAGATTTTATTGGATTGGATTTTCACCACGCGTGAAAATCTAACTCGTAAAAATTCACCGCGTGACAATATAACGTTTGAGGTGAATTTTTGTGTACTCCCATTTCAGAAACCCGAACCGGCCCATCAAACATCGGCAACGTGATCTCGCAGATACTTCTGTGCAAACAGATCACGCCAAACTTCTACGAGGAGGAGCTGTGCAGCATCAAAAAAGATTCCGAGGAAATTCGAGGTTTGATCAACGAGCTGCAAGAGTTTATGCCCCAATCGGACGGCGATATAGGTACTGTCGTATTTCCGATGTCAGCGTTCATCGTCCTAGCAGGAATTTTATTTGGTGACAACTCGCTTGTCTCTCGTTCCGACCAATCCCGATCGAATTTAGTCCGATTACTCGCCTCGGGGATGATATTACAAACGCCATCGGTTATCGGGGCACAAAATACACGCTATCGTTCAACAAAATTTTCCCATCTATATCCTTTCGTATTTGCGAGATACGTATCTGACTTTTCTTTAGAAAGTTTACGACGAAGCTTCGGACAAGTATAAATCGTGGCGCAGTTTTATGAAAATCGGTACGGGAAGATGAAAGTTTCATCTTTTACAGTGTGCATATATACGAAACGTTGAACAATTTGCCAGCGTTTTCACAACAGGATATATAGGTAACATCGAACAATTATCTTTTGAAGAGATAAAAGCCTTCGCTCGAACGGCCATTCTCTCAGAGAAATTAACTGTTTTGCAAGCGACAGAACGGAACAACGTTCGCGATACGTTTTCCAGTTGATTTTCCTCGAACGTAAACACCGCCGTTAATTCGATTAGCCGTTTCCGCGAACTCGCCGCTCTATTCAAACCCTAATGTCTCCTCCTCCCCCGATTTTTCTTTCGATTCTTCCCTTTTCCTATTCCTGTGTCTCCTCTGCCTCTTCTTCTCTATTCAACTGTCTCTAATCGGGTTACTCCAGAGGCCAAGGTCTGGATTTCAAAGGAGAACAGCTTCTCCGTCTTCGTCTATTTCACCCTCGTCCTGTCATACTTCGTCGCTCTTAAGTTCCCATTGATTCTACGGAACAAACGTATTACCTTCCGGCAGGATGAAGCTCGCTATAGGGTTACCCGATTCGACTCTCGGTCGGATAGTACACGGTGACCTTAATTATCTGTCGATATAACGAGCGAATTCGGATGCGTCCCCGTGGCCCCTTAAACGAACCATCGATATCGCCATGTATCTGCAACCTTGGATCCCGTAACCGGTAAATTCGAAACTTTGCACGCTTATCAAGGGAATAACAACAGAGAGAAAGAGAGAGAGGGTGGGAGGACGTGGAAGGAGAGAAATTCGAGCGACAGGATAGAAGAGAGAAAGATAGAGAGCAACGTTTGACATTGAACGCGAAACGGGTCAAGGTCGAGCGGAAACACGGACTTCCTTTTCCCTGTGTGTTACGAACGAGAAATTCACGCTTCAGAGAGAACGTACGCGCGCCACAGAGGAAAATAAAGGAATATAAAAAAGCAAGAAGAATCGTCCAACTTGTAGATAAAATTCCGAAAAGGACCGAGTCGAATGTTGTGTACGCGCTCGTCGAGAGAATTTGCTCGGGGAAAACGCGACGCTGAACCGGCGGAAGCGAACCGCGAATAAAAAGGAACACGCGCGGTTTATTTCGGATCGAATTCGAAGGGAACCAGTTTATCGGACGTGGTCTCGCGTGCAGCTTTTAAGGAATTCTTGAAAGGCGTTCGTGATAAGTTAGATATACAATGGGATAGCTTGAAACGAGCGTCATTGGTTCTGGAGTCTTGTTCGTTATAACGTACCTACTTCCAAACTCCCTGTCTGGGACGAAGTTACTTTTCCAATACAACGATTTAAACGATCTTATCGTTTCTACTAATATTCTCGACTGTCGCTATCTTTTCGATCGTGTAACCGAATTAAATTTGTGTCGACCAATGATCGATAGATTCGAATGATCGATTCGCCGCGCCGAAGTAGAAAAATCAACGAAGAGCCAGACGTAGTCCAACCCGTGTTTACGTTTTTGTTCCCTGTAGATTATTTTGCCGAGCAAAATTGTTCGTTATAGAATTGATTCGTTATGGTGTACCCCACTATGTAACATCGTACACATACGAGTATAACGCATGCGTAACGCACACAAAACCGACAGGGAAATAAATATGTACAGGACGAAACGCGAGAGCATTATTTAACGTTAAACAGAGGCCGGGTCAAGGATAAATGGAAACGTGGAAAGCGGTTCCTGCGTTCCCTCCGTTCTTCACAGAAACGAGAATTCACCGGACACGGAAAAAGGGTGGGAAATCCAAAGGGGTGGAGAGGGAAATATGCTCGACCGTGGACCGATAAAGCGATTCGAGCCGCGATTCGCGAAACAATCTAGACGGACAAGGCCGAGCAAACCTTTTGCACCAGGTAAACCCACCGATGGTTCCACCTTTGTACTTCAAACGCGGTGCACCGGCTAGCCTGTATTCGTTCTTGTCCCGAATCCTCTGTTTGTCGCGACGAAATTAATATGTATGCAATAACGGCCACGTATCATCGACGTTCCGCGTGATATCGAGGTCAAGGACGAGAAGAATTCATTTTTGCGCTAATATCCAGCGATTTCTGTGATACGCGAAATGGTAACTCGTTCGAGACTATTAATCCCTCGGACGAAACCTCTATCTTGAACGACCGTGTTGCACTTAGAGCCGAATCGATCGTAATTCTGACGCGGCTAACGCGTTGATCGATATCAAAACAACGGTTCACGATCTTTTTACTCGATCCTCTTTGAAATTCATAGAACGTACTACTTTATCGCCAAGATTCTCGGCGTCGATGAAACCTCTCGTGATTTTATGACGATGCAAAAGTCGAACACGAAAGGGGCTCAACGATGAGACGTCTCAATTTATTGCGGTCGCCGCATCGCAGGAGTTAAGTCGTCCTTTCATCGTGCTATGTCGCGGCTCGCATGATTTTTCCGTATTGCCGCACTTCTCCTGAAACGGTAACCACTTCCGCCAGCTGATAGACTAATTCGAAGTATATTGCACGCACAAGAAGGTTCAGGGTCGGGTTTCGTTACGATTTACCACGATATCTACTTCGCGATCGAGCTAGTAGTTACGCTCTTTTCGGTGTAATATCGTGACTCTCCTTCAGATCCTCCTCCTAGCAAATTCGCGTGGAACAGATAGAACGAATCTGGTCCGAGACAATCTGGGTCGCAAAAGGTTTAAGAATCACGCATTATCAAAGATGATCGATACGATCCAGCAATTAGAAAAGAATTCGATAAGATCGTAAAGAATAATATGCCCTGACCTCGTCTCGTTAAGCTAGGCCGTTATCAATTACGACATTATTTGATTTTTAATTTCGAGGGGAACATTAAAGAGAATCGCTCCAAACAGAGGCGTATTTGCTCGAGCTTCCGCTGAACGGAATTGCCATCCATTAAATAATTACGCAGCGAGGAGCAGTCAACTTAGCCTATCAACGTTCAGCAATGTCACCGTATCTTGTTCCATTAACTGAATTTTACCAAACGAAGTACAACCATCGAACTTATTAAAATGACGATATTCGATAAATGTTTCGTCGACGTGGTCAAAGCTAAGATTGTTTCTGTGCGTTTGCAGAAAAGTACACAGCCCTTCAAAGCGCCGGAACCAGAGGCAATCGTTTCAACGGAAGACGGACACATCGGTGGAATCAAAGCAACGACAGACCCAGTAGATCGGCTGGACAATCGTCCTACTTTCACGACGCTCTGAATCTTTTCTGTTGCACCGCGAGGGCCAACTACGTTTAACTTGCGTGTACATTTGTTTAAGTTCATTAGTATTCTAAGAAGCGTTCGACTTTCAAGTAAGTCTGAGTTCATCACGATTAATGAGCATCCGATTTCTACAGCGGGAGCATTTTAACCCGTAGACTGGCACATTTTTTAAACGCAGTAAGTCCTCGATATTTTCTTGTTAGTTAACGCGATTTCGGTTGACGTGATTCGATTTGACGCCATTCGATAACGTGCTTCGGCCTCTCGGGCCTCTAGCGTAGGGAAATATTGAGTTTCTATCGTAAACGCTACCTTCTCGAATAAATTCGATTCTTGCCACGGGTTGGCGAGATCAAAGATTTCGTGAAAATGAAACCTAATAATAAATGATATAGAATATTATTTAGTTGGTATAATCGACACCGAGGTATTTGAATAATAGTTGCCGTTGCAATAGTCTGTTTGAATAATAGAAACTCGTGATCGTACAAATGGTTCGAAATTTGGAGCACGAAATTCAACTATTATGTTCCTCGTTATACACGTATATTCGTATAATTAAACACTCCGCGATAGTTTTGATAACGAAAACTTGGTAGGAAGTTCAGCTAATCAGATATTTAATAAAACTTCAACGGGTCGAGAAAAATATTCGCCGGTCTATGGATTAAATATCAATTGCGTTTCGTGATCACGGAGGATCTTGCATTCGACTAGTCGATTAGACGATAAGAACCTGATACAAGCTTTATTTAGTTAATAAGATACAGATCTATAAATATAGGTATATACATATTGTGCGAAGAATATTTTTTTAAACGACTTTCATTTACAGACAAATCGTTTAGAATTGAAGATGATCCAAATTAGTGATGCGATTACGTTCGCGTCAGTGATCGACCAATCAGAAAAAAACGAAGAAACTTTTAATTCTTCGATAAAATTGTTACGTGTATACCGGTCTCTCGTATCCATCGATTATCGACTATGTTTTAAAAGATGTCAATGCAAAAATAATTGTTTCTTAATTACTGGCAATAATATTCATGTTTTGTCCCTCGAATTTTGAATACCATGAATCTTTCTGAGAAATTGGGAGACACAAATGAATATAAATCTTTCACTGACGGTGTACATCGTGCAAGAAACTAAAGGAACGCATCACCTCGGAAAGTAGAAAGATAAACGATTGAATTAGAGATAAATTCAATAGAGGACCAAATTGATCTAGTGTCACTCGTTTGCAATAAAAGTGATGCGAGCGAATTGTTTTAACAGTGAAATTTCAATGATAATCAAACCTCGAGAATAATATTCTTTTACGTGTTGTAAATTATAATTGTATCATCCTTCATGATTTATTATGAAAATCTCTTGAGCTACGTCACTCTTATGGTAAACGAGTGATGCGCGTATATACACGGTTTGTTTTAATGTTAAGTATATTGTTGTATGAATATTTGAGGAAAAAGAAATACATGTTCACACGAATGTATATCGTGTTAATTTTATGACCATGTATCGATAAGAGAATACTAATTCTGTTACTAATCTATCGTTCATGATACGTTCATGATATGTTCATTTGCGCGTAGACGTATGTGGCGGGAATTAACACACTTACATATGCGCGGGTGCACGTATTCGCAGCACACGACTATTAACTTTTTAAAATATGTAGCATCGTTATTAACATTATATTAATGTTAACTAGAATGAAACAAGTAAATAATTATAAAGTAAATAACGACCAAGAACCTGGGAAAATCTTTAACATTATGAAATTTCTTTGTGATGAAAGTTTTGTATTTGTTGCGTTTGATTTATGTGTCATATCGAATAGACTATCAAATGTAATAAACAAATAAATAAATAATAGTAAATAAATCCATCAAATTGTCACGTATATCGTATCGAACAAGGACGGATAAAAGGAAACAACACATATCGGTTAATACTCTAATTGATGTTGCACAAAATAGCATGAAAGGTAATATATACACATAAATACTAACGATGTGTATAATTCTAAGCATACTGTCCACTTAACAAATGTTTCTACGTTTAATTAATTTAGAAATACGGAAGTACTACACAGCTTCTTTTTCGATAAAAGATATCATTGTACATTTCACCACGTTCGCAATATAATAAATGAATCGTTACATATTAAAATCTTATGTTTATTGACATACCTCGACAGTGGTATCTGCAAAATATTCCTTTTTCGTAATAGTTAACTTGAGACGCGGTATTTTCGGGTTAGCTGGTATCAACTGATGTTCAATATTATGGTAACACTTGAAATAAGAAACAAATGTGATTAAAATTATGCAGCAAATAAAAATTAATTAGCTATTAACAAACAAATCACTTTGTAATTTTACCCATTACTATGCAAATATAATTTTCCGCACTTTCAACTTGCTCCCTCTAGAGATGTCGCTTTTCAAATAACATATATATGTTTACCACCACAACTACACGAATCGTATGAAACAAGTCCATCTTACATAATGGTGAATGTGTAGAACCACATTTGTCGTTCTCGTATTTGATTAAAGTGCTGTTTGAAGTATAGAATCATGTCTTTTAGCAGAGTAATTGTAAGTAATATAAAATGCACTGGTTGTTACTTTGTTAATCTACAAGTAACGCGTGAATCAATCGTTTCAATTCTTTAGTAACAAAATAAAGTATTCTGACAATCCACTTATCGAATCTATAGATCGAAAATTCGGAAAACAACCTATAAAATTGATAAAATATATTTGATTTTTTAGGTAAGATCGTTCAGTAGCAGTCTTGCTACTCAACAAATGGTTAAGGTACATGAATTAACTTTATATTGCATGTAAAATTACATAACTTAAAATAACATCATTGATTTATGTTCTGGTTATCACGAATTTGATTGCTTAACGAAACTTGTTGGAAATACACTAACTTAATATTTCTGTACAATGTTAGCCTCCAATTCAAGTATTTGGAGTAGATGGAAGATATGCTACTGCGCTTTATTCAGCAGCTTCGAAACAAAAATCATTGAATGCTGTTGAAAAGGACCTGCTAAAATTTGAAGTATGTATAATATATATTGTATTTTATGTAGAAAGTGTTAAAGTTGTGTATTTAAAAATGTTATGTTATAATAGGGTCTTCTAAAAACTGATCAGAAATTGAATGAATTTGTGAAAGACCCAGCAATAAAAAGGAAAGATAAAGCAGAATCGCTTAAGGCAATTGGTTCCAAAATTAGTTTAAGTAAGGAAACTACAAATCTCTTGGCTTTACTTGCAGAAAATGGAAGACTTGGATATCTGAATAGTATAATTAATACGTTTAAATTATTAATGGCTGCTAACAGAGGTGAGGTTCCCTGTGAAGTAACTACTGCAAAACCACTTGATGCTGATATGAAAGCTAAGCTTGAGAAAGCTTTGAAAGGATTTTTAAGCAAAAATCAAAATATTTTGCTAACCACAAAGGTTGATCCTACCATTCTTGGGGGTATGATTATATCAGTGGGTGATAAATATGTAGATATGAGTGTTGCTACTAAAATTAAGAAATACAGTGACATTATTGCCACCACAGCGTGAACATCTTTTATAAAATTCAGTGAGAAAAAAAATAACCTATACATAGAGAGGTTAATATAGGTGATCATTAAATAACATGTACATCATTGAACAATAAATTATTTCAAACCCACTTGTTGTTAATAGAAGATTGTTTTTCATTTCTTGAAATTGTTTCATACATAAAATACCTTTATTTCATTTTACACGTGTAAGTAATAAAAATTAAGAATAAAGTATTGCTTTCTTTATTATCTAAGAATGTAATTTTTACCATTTTTTTCATATTTCAAATTAATACATAAATGTATCTGCATATAACAGTCAAATTTTTATAACATTAGCAAAAGCTGAAATATTGCAAAAGTATTCTTACTTAAAATATTAATTACAATTGTATTTGAAATTCGTGCCTGCATTTACAATGAAATTTACAATCTTTGGAGTGTTCGAAAAAATGTCTATTTTTGAGTACCATTCATGTGATAATAGAACGATTATACATATATCATTTTTACTTTCAAACGTGTATTTGCCACAAAAATGCAAATTGGAATGTTGCTTACTAATAATATAAACACAAAGTACATACATATTATTTAAAATGCGTAACAATACACAAATAATACTTGACATGGATAGATCTTATAAAAAATTTATCACAATTTCCCATTGAGGAAATAAAAAAAATTGATTAATTCAAAAAAGAGAACATTACAATAAAATTATGATTGCAATATTTTGCAATACACAATTAAAATAAATACTATTCATTGAACATGATTTTTTATGTTACTTTTAAAACATATTATGCTACAACAAGACTAGAAAATTCATTAAAATCTTAATTTTGTATATAGAAATGTATACATAATTATGCTTTGATTTCAGTGAAGATTCTATTATAAGATGTGCAAAAAAACTGAAGACACATCTATTTAAACTGTGTTATCCTTTTTAAATATTCATAAAAATTAAAGTAATTTTATCTAAGATAATTTGTTATTTTATCTTACATTGTAACGGAAAACATATCATTCTTGACTACAACCCAATCATCATCTTCAAGTGTAGTTGACAATATAGATTCTTTTGATAGAACTGAAAATATAAATATTCGTTTTTAAGTGGAAAGGTATATCGGCAGCTAATTTTTGTATACTTACTACGAAACTTAATTTCCAATTCGCGTCTATCCATATGTTGATTATTCGAATGTAACGAAGAATCATTTAATTTATCTTGCAGTAGCTTCTTCCTACATTCGCCTAAATCTTCTAACCTTTTTAACTCAGTTCGATAACTAACATCTTCGTCCCCAGACTCAGTTTCGGTATGATCACTATGTTCATTATATTCATTTTGCTCATTTTTGTCCTCTATTAAAGAATCATTGGAATGTGTTTTGCAATCAGCATTCGTAATTGTATCGGCAGACTGAGATACGTTTGAATTAGTAGTAGCAATTTGACTGCTTGTCTTATATTTCGATAAATCAAAATCCAAAACATCAGCTAAAAGTTTTTCTTTGTCTTCTACATCACGTTGAATTGATTCAAGATTTCTATCGGTTCTTAGTATAAAATCATCGTCGATGCTGAGCGTAAGTAAATCAGAATGTGTTGTCTTTGCATCATTAGCATTTATCTTATCCTTATTAAAAACGGACGAATCATCGACGTCAGATAACGATGAACAATTTCCATTTCCATTCATCATTTTATTGCGTGATTTCTTAATTTTCCTCTCTGGAGTAAAAACAACGTCTTCAAATTCTTGTTGACTAATCTTTTCAAATATTTGTCTTCTATCATTGTATTTTCCATTCTGTTCGACATTTCTTCTTTCTGGAGTATCATTGTTATCTGTTGCATTTCTACGATCCGTCATGGATATAGTTGGAGGTATTTCTACAGCTTCTTCCGCATTTGCAACTGAAGTTGCATCAGTATCAGCAGTAACAACTGGTACAATACTATAAACAATTTTAAATAAAAAAAATATTTCCATATATAAAAGTACAGTTAAGAAAAACAAAACTTCATTCTGATACTTTACCCTACAGACTGAATAATATTGGTGGGTTTGATTTTATGAAAAGGAATAGCTGGCACTATTGTGCTTTCTTTCAACTTAGAAGTTAATTCCAATATACCATTAGTAACCGGTTTGCTAATTTCAGCGAACGATGAAAGTGGATCTAACGTAGTTTTCGCTTCTGTAAGTTAACATTTTCTTGAACATAAACGGAAGATAGTTCGAGAAAATATTAAAATAAAAATCGTACCTGATGAGAAAATATTACTTTCAGGACAGTATGCAATACGTATAATATTTCTTTCACCTTCTAAAACAAATATTTCATCTTTCGTGCAAGCAACGTCGGTAACACGACGTAAATCCGTTACAACAGACGTTATAGCAATAGTCTGTGGATTTACTACATATATTACATCATCGCTATATGTAATTAGTAAATCGTCACAAAAAGCCAAAATAACACCGAATGTCGGTTCCCCGCGATTTCTTTTAGAACTTTCTGGTGCAGGATTCAAAAGTTCCACTTGTGTATGACCTGACCGAATGGCATCCTTAAAGATCAGTGTTTTCAAAACAGTTCCAGTTTTATCGGCTTGCCATAAACGTAATCCAGGTCTACTGGCATATATTACTAAATCTTGGCTATAATTTTGTCGGCAACCAAATACAGCACCTAATCTTCCTAATCTAAAGTATGTATATATTACATTATTATGTATCATCTTCCAAAAAATTTAATATTAATTTATTTTAATACTAACGTTTTCCGTTCTTTTTGACCAACTTGAGTCACTTTTCCATTCTCATTTCTGTTAACTAATATTGTACGTAATGTTGTTGAAACCAATAATAAACCTTGTTGATAACTCAATTGTACTACTGCATACTTTTCATTTAATAATTCTGATGACTTTGACAAATGCTATTAAAAAATACAATAAAGAAAGATAACAAATTTGTAAATAATGTGTATTGGAATACTGTTTAATATTTATATATACCATGTAAAAATCAATTTCAGTAAGTACTACTAAACCATCCTGATCTCCACTAAATAATTTCATACCATTTTTAGACCATTCAACTGTAGTTACTGCACTATTATGCAAACCACTTATACTATATCTTTCTACCTGTTTTTTCTGTTTTGGTTTTAAGCTATCTGGTAATGAATCTGGTGGACTTTTAGGTATTTGAAATACAGTTACTACACCATGTTCACTACCAGCAGCAACCATATAATCTACAGTTGATATTACTTGAATACATGTGATTTTTGAATTAACATTCTGAAAAAATAAACATTATTTTATATCAACAGTATATATCATTGATTTAATAAAAATTTTGTTTCGATAATACCTCACACCTAAGCCTCTGGAGATCTTGTTTTTCTCTATCAAACCAATAAACTAATCCATGATTAGTTCCAATAGCTATAAATTCAGGCACTGCATCGATACAAGTAAAATTAATGTTATAGGTGAAAAGTCCAGTTTGAAGTTTTGCAGGTATTTGCTCAAGAAGCATAGCAAGAGGGGCCCATTCTCGCAAAGGACCTCCATCTTCACGCATAGGAGTTGTCATTATAAATATCACCTATACAATGATGTAGCTTCTTAATATATATGAGTACATAACATCTTATTAACTTATGAACTAAATATAATTTAAGGAATTTATAATTCTTTAAAATACTTCTTTTTCTTCAATAACATATACTGTCACATTACTAGCAGTGACAAACTATGTTATAATACGATTACAGGAAAAATATTAGATACTGTTCTGTTCAATAATTCATCGTTATAATAAAATGTATTGAATTACCTCTTTATTAAATGGCGTTTGTGAAAAAAGTTATAATACTATTGAATTATGTTTTCTCCATTATACTGTATACAATTATAATCTTTCATCGTGTATTATATTTCGAGCAATGTCATCTCACAATACTGTAATTTATAGCAAGATTGTATGTTACACGCCTTCATGTATCATAAACCACGTCACCTATAGAAAAGCACACATATGATTTCAACGAAAATCGTTAATTATAACATAAATAATACTCAAGACCATTTTGAATTATTAGTTGATATGTTATCAGAAAATAACTTAAAAAAAAAAAATTACCACAGATAAGCTGTAATAGACGTTACATTGGCAGTTTTAGACATTGCAATTTCCAGAAATCGTATACTAACGCGAGCCAATCGCATGCAAGCTTTTCTCATATATCGTATATTCATTGGCTCAATATAAACGATAGGCGTTCTCATCGTGCATTAAACGAACGTTCACAGTATAATATTAAATCCCTTATCGTACTAATATCCCTTATACTGAAATACCGATTGTGAAAAAAAATCAGAATGTTTGTTATACCCATTATGGTTGAAAATAGATGGCGCTAGAAATCATATTTTTGGTTGAAATAAAAGTCTTGTCCATAAGAAAAAAGCAATGTATCTATTCAACATTAAATGTTTTAAAACGGAAGATGTTTAAAACCAAATTCAATATAAAGAATTATACAAAATAACCGAAGCAAAATTTATTTCATATATAAAACGATTACTTGACTTATGATATACAAACGACATTACTAATTACTTTTCTTCTATTACAAACCAAACAATTTCACGCAACGATAGGAAATATGGGACTTACTGGGATCTCACAAGAAGTCATTATGAAATGAATTTAATTTAAACATTATACAGCCGATGACAAAAATGTAATGCTTCCATTCTTACTGCCTGACTGGTTGTAAATTGTTATTCTTTTACAAGTATCTTATAATTATAATAATAGTATAATATTAATATTATATCAGACAGATTCACACAACGTTCGCAGTATGAAAAGTGTTTTTCCTTATATATTTTGTGTTTCTTTTACATTCCTTTCTGCTAATGTTTACGTTCCCCAATGACTAATACATGTAGCGCAAATACTTAGTAGTCTTTTTCGTTTAAACGTGAAAAATGTGTAAAAACGCGAACCTTCGACGCGATGGCGGTATAGAGCATTGTTTTGGGGAAGGGAATTTGCGTACTGTTTTTCACTTGATTTCTCTCATTAATATTAATAATTTTGGATTTGCTGAAATACTCCTAATTCCTGTCAGTGGCTCGGAGCTTCTCTTCAACAGCTTCTTCAGAAGCCTCTGAAAGGTCTGTTGCCTGTATATATTTTTGCACGCCGACTAAAGATTTTTTCAAAGCGTCGAAAGAACTGGAGTACAACATCTTCTTCTTAACTTTAGCCGTGTCAGGACACCACGACATTAAGAACAGTTTTTGCTTCTTTGATGCCTGAAAGATAGTAAATGACAATTTAATATTCCATGTATTGATCGATCATTATTTAATATGCATTATATGATAATCAAAATGTTACCTCGGAAGTACCCTGACACTGATGAGTATATTCGAAATCGTAAAGGCCATAGCGACATTCTCCACTACCACCCTTTTGCAAGTCTTCGAGGAAAGCGTCGTAAGCTGCGTCGCGAGGTCCGATGACTTCAACATCGATTTGCTTCTCGTCTTTAATGTAAAAGATTACATATCGATGCTTTTTGTCTTTTTTAATCTCCTCGTATGTTGTCTTACAAACATCGGCTACTGTTACACCGGATGCCTAAACAAAGAAAGAAACAGCAGTTATTTTTCAATTCATTTACTATCAATTTTTTCAATCGAATATTCTCGTCATAAACGTCTGTGACAATGTCTTGTACAAGAAAAAATATTGTCTTTGCACGACTAGAAATACAAAATTTCAAGTGACATGCAATCAATACCATAAAGACGAATCAGATGTAATACTGAGTCATGAAATTGCATAATAACTCGATAAAAAGCTTGTTTATAAATAATCATACCTGTTGAAACTGATATCGACTCCACGTTATGGCAACTCTTTATACGATTTTATGAGACGTAATTGTGGTACATGAATAAAAACATAAAATTTCATTTAAATTTATCGCTTTTTGAATCTTATCGCCGTGATCATCACAATATCGATCCAAATATATATGCAATAGAGTTTTACGATATGATCCATGACAGGAATGTAAGATCAAAAATTGTGGAAAAGGAACGTATAATGATATAATGTGTGGCATTATAAGATGTGACGATACAACTTGACTATACATTATGCGACAATTTAACGCGTGGAGAGATGATGCACGGCGGTTTAGCGCGCGGAGATCCAACACGTAACGATCGAACCCTTAGTCGGTGAAACTTTACCATCACTCTTTCAAGATTTCATAATATATGATACAATGACATTATGTGCAAAAAGCTTGGTAAAGGATACAATGGTAAAATTTAACCCTTTGATCGTAGCAATTATCGCTTATCCTCCTATCTCAACTTCATTTCTTCGAATAAACAATATTTGTTTTCTTTTTTAATATCGGGAGAACATAGGTTAAGAACGTCGGACATGTTTCTCTGTATATTACGATATAACGACCGCTGGATACTAAAGAGGAGGCCGTGCCAGTATCAACACTATCAGTATTACGCGCGTCGTGTTAGTCTGGCCGTTTAAGCTTATTTCGCGGGCAAACGTAGGGGACGTACCGAAATAAAGTCTTCCCACGCACGAATCCGACGCTAAAAGAAATCCGACGTCCATTTCTAAAGTTATCTCTTGCTCTCGGGCACGTGCCACACGGTACGGAGGTCCGTTCGACTGCGTGTTTCTTCCACTCTGTGGAAATTTGTAAAATACGACCATGACACGACGCTCGGTTGAAGATCCTGCCCAGAGGGGGGTAGAAATGGAAGAGATATACTAACACACCATAGACGCGCGACTTGCACGCACGGTGAAAAGTTCGAAGTAGGATAGTTATTTTTGAAACGGCTTGCGTCTAAGATCAACGCTTTCGAATCGAAACTATTCAGATTGTAAAAAGGGCGTCCTTGTATTCCCAAGGAACACGAAGTTTTATCATTGTAAACAAGTTGCAAAATCGCTAAAATTAGTCGCATAAAATGTAATTCGATATTTCAAGTCAAAACGGATAGTTTGCCAGCGTGTGTCACTGTATAATTGTAAACTGTTATTCACAGCAATAAAAGGTCGGAGCACGATAGGCTTCCTTAGGAAAAATAATATAAAGGAAGAAGGCTATACATAGTAAATTTTGAAATTTTTAACACATGTATTTTACTTTTTATTAGCAGTATAAATATCGCTTATTTCTACTGACCGATGATTGTACACTATTTCCAAGCGAGTATTTCAGCGAGCAGTTTTGTCCACTCTGGTATAATGAACGTAAAGGTCGATTGGGGTGCAAAAGGGTCGACGAAAAGTGTAACGTGGTTGGAGGACAGCCAGTGGATGGAGGATGCAATTCCTCGGTCGATATTCTGACACGACGAGGGATGCCGGTTAGAGCCAGACTTGGCTCCCTCTAGGGCGTTGTTGTAAACGTCTCTTGTGTGTGGCACAAGGTCAAACGGAAGATGATTCACCGACGAAGAGCGATATGCTCGATTGTTTGACTGCCGAGAAAACTGGTCATTTACACGTACAATTTTATACGACACCTTTCGGTCTGCTCGTAAAAACAAAAATGCAAAAAAACAGTAAATATTTGGCACGTGTCGCGAAAAAATAAGATGTACATGTTTACTAGACCTTGAGAAAAAACTACCGGAGAATACTGATTTCAGTTTTTAATTACCCAGATTTCTTTAATTCTTCCATATTTATTACGAAGACTTCGATCACGCAATTAGAGAGCGCGTTAACTGTCAATACGAACGAGGAAAAGCGATACGATGACGAATAAAAAAAACATCCAGCAAAATTAATCATCGTAATGTCGAAGATAATCAGCTTATTCACCATATTCGCAAAGGCGTCAGTGAACTTTGAGAGTCACTGGCCTGCAAGAACCGACCTCCTTACGGGCTCATTGAATTTTTCCCTCTCTACCAGAACTCTTGTAGTTCACTGTCATCCACAAAGCTAGAGAGGGGAGGGAGGGTTAGTTTCTCAAGGAAACCCAACTCTTCATTACCAAGGATACAGCGTCTATCGGCAACTAGCATAAATATTTAAAATGTATTCGGGGAATGGTAGTTACTACTTGTGCCAGTTTCGGGTGGCTAATTTTCTGTCGCCAATTTGCCGGAAACGGAACGCGACTACTACTTAATGAATTCTTCCGGAACTCTGATAAGTCTATCGCGTATAGGATTAATACGAATTCTAAAGAAAAAGATTGAACAATAACAATGCATCTGTCATCGTTCGTAACTATTAAATTATCTATGTACATGAAACAAAAGATAATCGTCTAATAGCACCCTTTCATACAAGAATTGTACAGTGCAATAGGTTTACTAATTTTGTAAATACTCTTATCTAAGTTCACAAACATAATTGATAATGATACTGTTTGCAATTATATACTAACTGGAAGGAATACGAAACACATATGCTTAAAAAGAAGAAATATGTACTGATGCAGTCGAACCGTAGTAACCGATCGATAATAAAATTCGATATTTCGACACCTTTTAAGATTGGAAGGAAATTTCAATCTGGCATAACGTACGTTTGTTATATAAATTTTTGGCAATTACGACGCAAATTCGAGAAATGTTCGAGCTGAAGACGAAATTGTATGACGATAATAGTACTTAAATATACTTTATACACTCCAATGTAATCGGTACTTAACAGATAGAACGGAAGCAAATAATCTTTACTCTGAAATTGTATTTAAAAATTGCACTATATACGCTATTACTTTTATTGAATATTTTGAAAAATTTGAACTGCATCAGTTAATAATCGAATCAGAACACGTGATATGAAACCTGAAAAAATAAATGAAGTAAGAATGTCCTAAGGAGCAAGCAGATTTTCTATTTTGTTATAATTAATTACTACGAATAACTAAAAGGAATTTATCGAATGAATTACCATAGGGCGATATGTTACAACATAACTGCAAAATTCTACTTTTCCACGACGTACAATTTTCTCCCGTCACCAATCACAATTGCTGTTTGAAGTATTTGACTGTCGTATCGCGAAACTGGAAATGAATCATTCGTTTCCTGGAAGCAAGGAATCGCGATTGGCACGTAAAAATGCACCCTACACGAGAAGTGTTAATTTCCTTCTTTCGTTACTGCAAGTACGAAAATCAGTTGCATCGACAATTCCAAAGGAGAAGTCGAAGGCAACAAAATTGGTCGATTGGCGTGGCCAAAAGAAGAAAGCCGTCGTTCTCGCGGCGTATTGCCGGGATAGAAATGGCGACCGGCGCGTCTGCTTCGGCCATAACCACAAAGTAAGCCGTTTACCGGTTCCTGTAGGATTGCCGACATTTTTTCGTAGGTAGATACATGCACGATATGATATTTACCATTTTGCGATGTCGTAGCCAGTAAGAAGAATCACGTAAACAAGCACTTTAACCTACACTTTCACGAGAGGCTCGGTCTGGTGGAACTGGATAGGCGCAGTGTCCAGTCGCGGGGGTCGCGGCTCATAAACGAACGGGAAGGGAGGCTCCTCTCTCAGCCAGCTATCCGCGAATCCTGTATCCCTACGCCTGCGCGCGCGCACTCTGATTAACTCCGTCTTGATTGGCCGATCTATGATTAAGAAAAAGTCATGATCGTATATACAAGTACTTTTCTGGAGAAAATTCACTGATAAATCGTGTATTCCAGGGATGATATTCTTTTCGCGATAAATTAACGAATTACATTCGCATGGGTATGAATTTCGTTTTTGAGCCGGTAAGATTGTTCCAGTGCGCACGCGTCGTGCGATGCGGTCATGCCGATCGTTCATACACTGTTTAATTTCAATTGGAATATGCTTTTTCTTTAGGTTATCTTAAAAATAAGATTGTTCGGTAAGTTCCTCGATGCCCTAACATGGAAGTAAGATTGATTCTAGTAACAATAACGTGTTATTTATGTGAATTAATCATTGATGCGACCTGCCGGTCTTATTGACCAATCGTTGTGAGGGACATGGGGAAATTACCTTATATGGGCAGCGGCATGCAAGCGACCGCATACAGACGTCGCGCGTCGTTTCGTGCGCATGCTGCATGCTTTGCGTGCGCACGACGCGCAATACACTTGACAGTTTCAAAATACTCCGAACCGTGACAGCACGATATCGAATGGACAATAATCTTAACTCTATCGGTAAAAATTGAGGAATCATGAGTTCGAAATCACTGATAATTCCTGATATCGCAGATATTTAATCTTTACATGGACTAAAATAATATATAAAGATACGTTTGGTTGAACTAGAGTAAAATAAAAGTAGATTTATGCCCATATTGTATGTATATTATATTATTATAATACTGTTGTCAATTACACAGTTTGAAAGCATACTTGATACATTTAAAGAGTATTTTTAGCGTAATTAGTCTTAGATTATTGCTCTAATATTTAATGTACAATGTAATTAAATATTATTTTATAAGTAGAGTAATTTGTAAATTAAAATGTGTTGAACCATATATTTCACGTTGAAGCATAGTTGTTGTAATATTAATATATACTAGGAATAGTAAAAATATATTAGAACATATTTTGTAATTTATTTTGTTTAATATAAAAATCGAGTGTTATAAATAATGTTTCTCAGTTCAGTTCCTACAAATAGTTTTACATAAAAAAATTGAAGTCTTAATTAGATCTTTGGAAAAAATCTAATTTATATGCTTAGAAGTTTTTAAACATATAAAATTTTGGTCACGCAAATAAAAATATGAATTCCTCTACAGTTTTTTTTTAATAATATACTGTTTAGATACATATATATACAATTTTGGCAAATGTATGAGTAACTGCAAATACATGTTTCACTTCAATAATTGGACAATCACTTCTACTTAGCATTGTATGAGTTATAGTTCACCAATTTACACAAGCATTTATGATTTTTACGGATAAGCTACTATATCTTGGATAAATAAAATCTCATATTAAAATGATATATTTTTATAGACAAATATTTATTTAATTTTATAAGCAGTTACTTTACTTATTAAAAGAATTATTTTTGTACTATTAATTTCAATGAAATCAATTTTACATCAGTATAAAAAATGCATACTTCTTAATAAAAAATATAGAATTTTATTTATTCAAGATATGATTATGTATTATAAGAAATATAACATTGTGAACAAATAGAAGATCCTGATAATATCTAACTTTTTTAGATATTAACAAAAATGATATTACTATGATAGAGTTTTTAAGTATTTACTCTACTTACGAGATTAAAAATAACAATAATTATTGATTACTAAACTGAAAAAATGTATGTATCTAAAAATATTTTTGTCGTTTTTCAATATATCTTATACATATATATAATCAGTTGAAAAGATGTATATATACATATAAGAGCGTATCAAGTTAGATTACTTGAACTGTATAGAGAATATGTACAACTTTTTATAGTAAAACATGTTTTGAAGCTTCTGAAGCCAAATTATATTGGCAGCAATATGCAACATGAATAACATTATCAGAACACTGCAAAAAATTGAAAAATACCTAGAAATATCATAATCTTCATGATGTTCTCATATAAAGCAATTAACTATAGTAAATATAACTTAGAAAAACACATTTTTATCCTTAATTTAAATTCGTATAGCTTTCATGTCTCTTTTGTCATGAGGTGGTCGCTTGTTAATGTTTATTTTAACGTACAGAACACAGAAAAATATTATAATAATATATGTAAATCATGATTAATATATTTATAACCGATATTGATTTTCATGATTAAAATTTCTAATTCAGTATTAATAAATCAGTAGTTTCGTATTTATACTTTTCCTTCAAAGATACAAGGAATAAGTATATTTTTAAAAAAGATAAAAAATTACGTTACTGAAATAGAACAAATGCAGTTACGAAGCTCTTAAATAATCCAAATTGTAATACTTTCTCTGCTTAAGTACTGTTTAATAGCGTTTCTCAAAAACATAAATGTTTTTATAAACGTTGTAATTGTATTCTTCCGTAAAGAATACAATAATTATGATGTTTTAACTAGAATTACATGGTAGGAACCACCTATATCCTTTCTAAAAGAAAGAGTCATTATTTATAATAACAAAAAAATAACGATATACGAGAACTATACATAAGCTAGTTTCTCAGTCAACTGTTACAAGATTTCATTTTTATCTTTACAATTAATCAGATCACCAAGAACTGATTTCCTTTTTCTAAAGTTAAAGAAACGTTAGATGAGCCCTCGCTTCTTTTTATAATCTTCTAAATTTAAAGATCGTCGAGGTCCTGTATCTTTAATATTACTAATAGGTTTTGGCAATACGCTAACAGGGTTGTCTGAAAAAGAAAAAATGCATATATGTAATATATGCTTTTTACATGTATGAAAATAAAAAATATTTCTTGTGTAACTTACTTGGAATTGGTACTTCCAAATCTATTGTAATATCAAAATCATGAGCATTAAATAAATCTTCGGTACTTTGTTTCTTCTTCGTCTCTTGTCCATTTTCTTTCTCGTTATTTGCTGTTATTGTTTCTGTTTGTTGAGGACTAGATTTATCGTTTACTGGAACGGTAGACGATACCTCTTCATCTTCAGGTTTAAAAACCATTCTTGGTTTTGTGCTTCTCCTAGTAAATGGATCATCTACTTTTTTACCCTTATTAGCTTTAACTTCCTCCTGTTATATGAAAAATGGATTAATTTCGTAAAATGAATATGTTTCAATTTTCATATAATTTAGTGTATACAACTTAATTACCATGATTGCTTTTTCTGCTTCTTCGACATTTTTCTTTCTATTGCGATCGTTGATATAAGATATACTAGATATTGTTGCAGTACGCATTTTATCAAGTTCAGAAGCGCGTTCTTCGAGTTCACTTAATTCTTGATTAAGTCGACTGGCAGTTTCATCGTCCCCTCTACAGTTAGCTGCATCCCTTTCACGCATAAGCTGTGCTTTTTTCATCGCATAGTTATACGGAGTTTGTTTGAACCTTTCCTTTTCTCTTACTATTTTCTCGATATCTTCCTCTTTGAATTCATATACTAGAGCTTCTTTAATGTCTTTTAATTTTTGTTCAACTTCCTCAAACGTAGGCATCGATATTCCTTGCAAAGCACAAGTTTCTTTCCATTTGAAAAATTCAGATTCAGTAAATTCTTGATTGGATACAAACTCTAATCTAAATACACGTTCCTGTGCCCCATGTCTCAGTTTCAGTCCTTTGTTTGTTCTAGTACCACCTAGTTGGTAAATTTTCCCAGTTTCACAGACACCACTAATTTCAGCTACTCTATATACTGGTTTTCCATTGTTGTTTCCAATACCAATTCTAACGAAACAACCTTGCACTACTCTATCAAAGAATGGCAAGTGTACAAATCTTTCCATTTTGTGACGAGATAATCTAATTTTATTAAGATCTTCCTTGGTACTGACATATACTGGTTTCTTCGGTTTTGCTCTAGTACTAGAGATAGATCTGCAAAATAATTTATTTGATTGTATTGAAATACAGCTGCTGACATTAAATTAATATTCTGAATAAGCAGGAAATAAATACTGACTTTTTGTCATTGTCAGAATCGGAATCCCTACTATCGCTTGAAGATGATCTACGGTGGGATGATGGCTTAGCCGTTTCTTCGTCTTCACCGCTGTCCGATGAACCACTATCGTCAGAATAAATATCTGACGCTTTAAGTTTTGTTTTATTTGCACCTCCTTTATGATCATCCTCCAACTCTTCTTCCTCCATATCTTTTGATTGTTGCTGCTGTTGCTCTATCCTCTGTTTTTCTTTCTCTTCTACAGAAGAAAAGAAATCATATTCATATAAACACATCCTTTTTTAAAATAAATGTTATATTCATCTTCTTTGCCAAATTACCTCTTTCTTTCTTCTCCTCTCGCCTTGCTTTTAGAAGAGACATTGCATGGAATTTTTTATCCTGTTTTTCTTCTATTGTTTTTTTACGATCTTTACTTCGTTCTTTAGGATCTGGAGCTCTGTCAAGTTTTTTCTCTTCTACACCTTTTTCTTTCTTTCTTGACTCCTTCTGCTTTTTCAATTCCTGCTTTTTAGCCATCCTCAATTTCTTTTCAATTTCAAATCTTGTCTTCATAATTTCACGTTGTTCAATCCGTTTAAAAATTTCTTGTTCACGTTCTTTTTCAGTCATTTGAGCAAGTCTGGCCTGATCTTCTGCATCTCCCATTAATTTATCATCATAGCCATCATTAAATTCTTCTTGGCTAGAATCAGAAACACTAGCATCTGAATCTGATACCTCACCTGCAAATATAAAATAACTTTTTATCTTCATAAAGTTCTAAATATTAATACAATTATTAATTACTTATTTAAGTAATGAATGGAGTGACTGTGCATTTAAATAATTACCTTCTTCTGGTTCAGAGACCTTCTCAGGTTCCTTTTCACTAGCACTTTCTTCGCTACTAGATCTTGTCATCTTACGTTTATTTCTCTTGGTTGGTACTTTCTTCTTTTTATTTTTACCAGCTTTTGTACCCCAATCATCATCAGAATCTGATGTATCTGAATCATGTTTATTATCTTTTTTAGTGGGTCCAGTCTCTTCATTAGATTGAGAATCATCTTGAGCTTTGCCTTTCTTCTTTTTAGCAAGTGATAATAAATCCTAATTCAAGTTCACAGATTTGTAATTAAATTTCACATATTTCATATACATATATTAAATAAACTTACAACTACTAAAGTACAACTACTAAAATCATAAATTCCCAGTAATTGATCAGATGTTTCAAGTAAAAAACTGAGCGTCTATTATTCGAAACTTAACAGGTTATGTGAAATAATGTTCATTTCTATATTTTTTATAACATGAATGGGGGGTATTAGACTTATATCGACTTGAATAGTAATACTATGGAAACATGTCTATTTGACTTATGAGGCATACAAAATTAATAAAAAGTATAAAATGGAAATAATGTAAAATAACATGAGATTTTTATGTAAGGTTAGATCATTTACATTATCCAAATCTGAGCCACTTTCTGAAGCACTGCCACTACTATCAGAATCTATGAGAGCCTGATTCTTTCTCTTTGGCATCGTCACGAAAGTTTACAAACGGAGATCGTGAAAATTGCACGCCCTCCTAACAAAGATAAACCTAACGTCATGCAAGATACAATAAACTAGGAAGACCGCGTAGAACCGAAAACGTTAAGCATTAACACCAACAGTAGCATATAATACACCACCCATTTTAGTTACATGGCTCTGCAGTTGAACAAACAATTGACCATGTACTATTTATATACACATTTATTTGTACATATATGTATGAAGAGAGTACTTGCTTTCCCTCGATAATTAGCAGCTATTTTATTATTATAATACATAATCATCTGAAACATTCAATTTTATTACATGTAGTAATATTGTATTTTGCACATTGGTAGTTGTGAATGTTGACACTTTTTGCCGTCAATGGCGTTTGATAGACGCACCTGTGTCGATGTGTCAGAAAATTTGATACTATATTGGCTTGTATATGACGTTACCTTCAAACAGTGAGATGTAATTATAGGAGTGGCATTTACGAATTAATTGTAATAGATAGTAGTGTTGTAGACAGCGTGACCATTCTAATTACGGATGTTTAAAATTGGAATATTCAGTAGCTGTGAATATGGAAGTAGAAAAGAATACCTCAAAACAGGTTGACACTCAACTCTCGACAAGTAATTCGGCGGAATTTAATAACAGCATTCAAAAAGATAACGAAAACATTGAAAATGTTGAGAATTCATTATCATCTTTAAAAAATGTAATGATTGAAACCGAAAAACATGAGGATACTACTATATATGCTCAACTGGATGATCCTGAAATTTATGTAAAAGATGTAGAAGATAATCGGATATTAACAAACGAAGAAGGCAAAGAATGTACTGAAAGCGAGGAGAAAGAATTCTCAGAAAATGCAACAGTTTCTAGGAACAATTGTAAGACTGAACAGTTAAACACAATGCCAGAAAATTCTACTGATGGACATGTATCCCAACCTCCATTAGCCTTTACAATTGATTTTGGCAATAAAGAAGTTGATACAACCAAGTATCAAAATTTATTTGAGAGATACAATGCTAGACATAAAAGAAATTTATCCACATCCAAGGTTGGTTTCATTGCTTCTTGAGAAAGCATTAAATAAAATTATTAAAATATAAACACAGTGAAGTGATGAGAATGTAAAAAGTGATTTAATGTGCTGTAACTACAATCATAATTAAATTTTCAGGTAGAAATAAATACAAAAAAACCTGGTACTTTGGGCTCTTCAAATTTAATGCAAAAACAAAAAGTTTCTAGTACACATTCTGAGGGTTATTTTAGCAGCGAAGATGATACTAAGCGTAAAACAGATCAGTTGTCAGAGAAACTGAAGCAGCTAGGTAAATTTATTAACTTTTAATTTTTAGTTTCATGTATTGTGTTTTTAGTTGTTGTTATTAAGATACATTTTATCTCTCAGTAACACTTAAAACTACTTATAATCAGTAGTACAGTTCAGAGTTGTTTGTAATGAATACATTTAATATATAATTTTTTAAATAGTATTTGATCTTTTTACAATTATTAAAGCCCAATTCCTTTTGAAGAAAAAATGATGTATAGTGGAAGACTATATATGTCTTGTATGAGTCATGATGAAGTCATCTTCACTATGCTTTTTAATATTCTCCTCAAGTATTTCCAATATGTTCACAGTATGTAGGCCGCTAAGTTTAATAATTTTTATATCATTTGTGAATTGGTAATAAAACTTCAGTTTGAATTAAAAGAAAAAGTATTGTTTTCTACTTATTTTATTTGAATATTTTTAGTTTATTATTAATTATTGTATTTTGTATAATCGTATAAAATTTATGTTTCAGGTTCAAAATCATTTTTAAAATCATCTAATGCTTCAAAAAAATTTGAATTTACTGTAAAAGCATCAAATTTTCAAAATAAACAAGATACAATGACCAGATCTTTTGAGCAATCAAAGCAAAATAAATTTTCTCACAAAAATCTGTCCTTAGAACTTGGTAACACAGAAAAGACGAATACAGCATCTTACTGGATTCCACAAAAATCAGCTACAATAAATGATTTAAGTCGAATTCAACTAAATAACTATGATGATGATACTGAAAAGATGTATACAAAGAATATTGACACAGCGGATGATTATGAACATATGTCTGATGTCTCAGAAAAAGTTTCCAACGTTAATTACGGACAACGTAAAAACGTTAACATAAAAGAACATAATTTATCCAGTGTAAGCTACACAATGGAAGTAAATCCAGATGATCCAACTGAGACGGATATAGATGTTTTTAATGTTAGTAATATTGATGGAGGATCAGATGGTGCAGTTAGTGAAGCAGGAACATATACAATCCATAAAGATTACACTGATGAAGAAAAAGCAAGAATGGATATTGATAAAGTATTCAGTGTAGGCGTTTTAACTGCAGATGAAAAAAGTGAAGCATGTATTCATAGTTTTAAGGTGAACTAATATTGTATTGATTATTTATTATTATTGGATGGAAGTTTTTATTATCATTAGTTAAAGCATTTTTCTTTTAAAGATGTGTGTCTCAAGAGATAATAATACATGGATATCAGAATGGGCCACGCAAGTTGCAGAACACAATTCTCTTCCATCTGGAATTGATGGATCAACTAGTTATACTCCACCGCTAAGTCCTTCCAAAATACCATCCCCTATTCATAGTAGATCTCAAAGACTGGCTCGTAGTCGCTATGTACGAATAATTTTTTATCTGTGACACTATTATAGTATCACATGTACATAATGACAAATACTTTTAGGAACAGAAAGATGGTAATTTAAATACAGAATCATACCTCAGAATAAGGGAAAGAATTGGTTTAATTTCGAACCAAAATGTAATGATTGATTCTGGGGGAGAATCAGATGATGATACCAGTAACAGTTACAATACACCTCCACAAAGTTCACAACAAACACCAGTGCATGGTTCTTTAGCAAGAAGAGGAAGCTTGTCTGAATCTCTTTTTAGAAGGATTAATACCAATGAAGCTCGAAAAAGTATTCGCAAATACTTAAACTTGAACAAATCAAAGACTGAGGATGCAGGTGCAGAATTAAGTAGTCCGTCCAAAGATTTTGCTTCCCTTCACATAGGAAGACGAAGTAGTTCCTTGGACAGGTAAAATACTACTTTTATACAATATATATTATGCATATATATTAATCATAAACCAAAAATGAATATTATTTTTTAACATAGGAGAGGATGTACATCTAATGTAACAGAATGTAATACGTCCAAAAAAAGTGGTGCAAAGTATTACCAAGATGATGAAATTAAATATCCAAATAGTCCTGTTTTAAGTCATTTAAGACCGTCTACACCAAAATTAACTAACAGTCCAATTGTAGCGCGTAAAACAGTTACGAAAATAGTTAATTCGCCAGTATTAGAAAGAACTAAACATTTAGCAAAATCTTCTCCTCAAGCTAAAAATATTGGGTATTTTACTTGTGTTGAAAATAGGTATGTATATAGAATAAAAATCATAAATACTTATATTTATTATAATACTAAACATTTTTTTTTTGAAGTCCATACATGTTAAGGAAATCTAATAGTACCGCAAGTTACCATGAAGGAAACGTTGGCTTTAATAATAAGGAAATGTTAATAAAAACTGACAGTGTTCTTCAAAATAGTCCAATTCTTCAACGTAACTTAAGTATCCAAAGATCATGTAGTAATGCAAATATTAGAAACATAAAATCACAAAGCCAATCATCTCGTCGTAGTAGTTTCAATAGTAGCGATATTGATAAAACATCTTCAGGAGGAAGATATCTCGCTGCTTCTGATAGCAGTAGCGAGGCCGGTGAACAACAAGCAAAGTCTTCGTTAGTTTCAGTATCTTCTGGAATTAAATTAAACCGAGCTTTTAGTATCAGAAGAGCTAGGTATTTAAATAATATGGCACCTGTACTAAGTGAAATATCAAACATTTCAAATTACGTTTTATAATGTACAGATTAAACTGTGAATCTGATACTACACCAAATACTACACCGGAAGAAAGGCGTAGAAGAGCACAAAGTGAAATAAAATCAACAACTACAACAAAACAACAAGGCTATCATAGAAGCCGTGCAAGTAATGTGAATACACATAATAAAGAGTCTGTCAAAAAATCAGAACTTCCAAAACCTAGAGCTGTATCAATATCAAGAACTGATAGTACTAGACTGAGTATGAGAGTGCCAAAATCAACTCATGTAAATAGTTTTATTCAGTTCCTGTATTACTTAAACGTATTTTACAGCTTCAGTAACTTCCAATATTTTATAGCATGCTTCCGTTGTACAACGTCCTAATCAAAAAACAACTAAAGATCAGAAATCTGGTAGAAGTAATTCAACATTAACTTCAAAAGAAGTGGAATTTCAAAATTGGAAAAGAAGAAAGAGTTACGATCCAATGAAAGCAGCTGCCGAAGGTAGAAAAAAATTAATAGATAATACAAAAAAGCATCACAGTACAGAAGATAGTTCAGGAAAGTAAGTATAATTTTAAAATACACTATTTTAAATCCTTGTTATTTACGAAAAAGTATTTCCAATTTTATTGTTTATAGTCATGATAATTCCGTATTACGATCGGCAAGTTTTCATGGAACTGGCGGTGCTCTTTCATTAACCAGTGAATGGTCTGACAACGAATTAAATATTGCTCAAAATGACCGTCACGTACCGCCACCATGCAGTCCACAGTTGGTAGGTATTCATATATATGTATTTTTTAAATAAAATTCATGATGTTATAAATAATCGTTACTGATTTTTTAATGCACAGGAAAGCGATAGTGATTTAGAAACATCATATTACCTACAAACAACGCAAAATGTAGTATCAGCCATGTCAGCTCGTATAACTGTCTGTCATTCGCCTTTAATAGATTCAGATAATGAAAGCGATGAGGATACTAGTCATAGCCTACATAAAAGTGTACCAAAAACATTACATGAGCATACTGATACAGAAAGTAGTGACGATCGTCAGCCTAATGTACAGAGTACTGTTCCAAATACTAAATACAATAAAACACTTAGGTAAGAATTTACATATAATCAGTTAATATTATTAGTTAATACAGGCATTCTAAGAATTTATTTGTAGTTTGCGCAGAGCGCGGGTAGAATTACAACCTTCGAAATTGTCCACAAATGTAAATAAAAATAGATCAGTCGTGTATGATACCCGAGATAAATCTGAACCTACAACAGGTATTAGTAGAACTGATTCTGGGCGTTTTAGTATACGGTCAAGTAGAACCAATCCAGTATGTATTTCGATTTATACAGACCTACTTACATATAGAGTATAATATTTTTATTGTTTGTATATATTTCTTGTTTAAGGGATCTAAAGTAAAACCAAAAGATGCAAAAAAGTCTACAACGCCTAATGCAAGGGAGGTCGAAATGCAAAATTGGAAACGTCGTAAAAGTTATGATCCTATGAAAGCAGCAATGGAAGGGAGAAGAAAAGCAGGCTTAGCAAAAAAAAATGCGAATGCTAATCTTTCCCCAAGGTAAGCACATGTTCTTAAGCATTAATTTATAAAAGATTATATAACAAAATCTTTTATTCGGTTAATATAAAAAGTAATTATTTCAATATGTTGGTAGGACCGATAGCGATCGATAATCTAATGATACAGACCATCGATACAAGCAAGTGGTAGGAAAAAGACTTGTTTGACTTTGTGATATAGATTTTTTTAAGAGGTGGCATTGTAAAATGTAACTTTTGTTATCTTTTGTAGCCTCTTAAGGAAATCATATTGCAATAATACTGCTTTTTGATTTTAGTTTTTATATTAATCCATGCTAATGCACTATTAATCTATGAATACTATGGATGTTCGATTTGGAACAGAAAGTTAAATGAGAAGTACATTACTCTTCCAAGCATACAGTCTACAGTCCATATTATTCAATGTTTGTTTTCTAGTAAAATATACATATAATTATGCTTTAGTGAAGCAAATTATAAAAATAATGATTTATTTTTATTAAAATGATGTTATAAATTAAATGATTAGAAATTAAGTCAACTATAAACATTTTTTTTAAAAAATCTGAGTGTATCAATTACAGATTTCAGGTTAGTTTGTTGTGGCTTATTAATGTGGTACAGCTAGATTAATTTCTTATTTGTTCATTCGTTTGATTTGCATGATCTGAGAAAGAACCAAGCATACTGAAACATTTTTATCTGCACAGTTTTTGAGTATTTATTTCAGAAATTATAGTTGCTAAAATATTTAAATAAAGTGATATAAAATTCATGAAGCTATGTACACAGATACTATTATAAAAATTGAAAAATTAATTGAATTTTTTGCAGAATCTTCTGTTATACAGGAATAAAGCACCAGCATGTTAACATGTTATACATAATAATATGTTTAACTGGTTCTTTCTTCACAGATATTTGTAGTTTAAGAAAAATATTATTTACTTTGTTTTTAGTAATGTTGCAAGATCTCGCAGCTTCCATGGCTCTTCAGGATTCAGAGTCAGTGATTGGAGTGAAGAAGAATTGGCTATATCTGCAGATGAAACCACAGTTTGTTAAAGGGTCAAGTTATTGGTAATACTGTATAAATGAATCTAGTTATGAGAATTTTGATTACAACAATTAATGTATATAAAGGATAAGAAAATAATTCTTACAGAATTGCTCCATAAATAGTTCTATACACTTAGAATTAAATTAAATGCAGACGAATGTTAACAAAAAATCTTTTCTATATTAAAAGATTCTATTTTTTGCAACTTTTAATAGTAAGAAGCTATAGATTTATATGACTGTCAATGTTGTTCTAAGTTAAAATACCACTGTTTATGATTGAATATTCTTATATTTTAGCTTTTTTGTGACAATGTAAATTATCATTATGTATATTGGAATATGTTGTTTAGCATCAAATATTATAAGAATAGAAAAAGAGAAATACTAAAATCTTTTGGAAGTTGTGGTAAGAGGAAAGTAACTGCTATACATATATTTAGGGCCTAAAAATATTGAATACTAATAATTATACAAAATTATGTACGTAATTGGTTTGATTATAATTGGACCAATTATATAATAATGTAGGAATATAAATGTTTCTGCATCGTAGTTTTTATTATACAATCATTTTTCACTGTATCATTTGTTATAGAAATTTCTAAAGCTGATTTTTGGCTGTATCATATGCTCTCTAGTTCAATTAAAATTTTTTATTTCTTTATACACTATTATACACTATGTATCGTTGATAACGTTGCTAAATTATTAGTTTGTAATAAATACAGAATTATTGCTCGAGTATAGAGTAAAACAAATTTCCATGTATTAATATATAATATGTAAGAACTATTTGTGTTTTAATGTAAGTACATATTAACATATACGAAGAAAGAATGCTATTTGCTCTTGCAATGTGCAATAAATTAACATTTAATTATTTTTTATGTTCAGTAAATTAATAATCAATGTGATCATAAGATGCTTTAAGATGTTAGTCTGTATCAAAGTAATATTTTATTATCCAACATAATTATATGTCTTTCCATTAATTATGTAAATATTAGGAAACCATTTAAATTGATTATTAAAGCAGATCTGTCTTGTATACTCGTTTAACGAGATTAATGCAGCTAATGCACTAATCACTGATCTGTACAATAATAGTAAAATAATATTAAACTCATTAATATGTAATGATAATATTACCTAAGAGAAACATTTTAATGCACAGTGCGCAGTTTGTTTCTTTATTATAAATTTATCAATCCTTTCAAATTCTGTAACATTTCGAATATTTGTTCTGACAATAGTTACTTGGATTTTTTACTGCATGATTTTTAAAATAAGTTATACTTGTAAGTGTAATAAATTAAAAAATCATGTTTGTTAATGCTTTAAAAAATATCAGATCTTCTGAAATATACATATAATTGCATATCACTGACAAAAGTTATGCAGTGAAAAGTATTATAAATACAACCCATAAAGGAAAGAAAAGTATTTAATAAAATGTAATATTGATCAATATTATTAAAAGTTCAGTTTTAAGAAAATTTTATTATTAACAATTGTACGTATCACACTTCATTATTATTGTTATTAGTACTATCACTGTGAAAATGTACTTGTAAATATCTCGTTTTAATAACTTGAGGTGCTGATTGTATAATTTGTTTATTTTAGTTTTTACAAACCCCACCAATCTATTCTATTGTTAAATATTTCATTACGAATAGAAATATTAACAACGAAGCGATATAATTTAGTTTTATGTGATTTGTATTTTTATTCTTAGATTGAAAATATAAAAATCCTTTTCGATATAAATAGTTCTTCCAGATATGGTGCAAAACGAGTTACATAATAAGGCAGTATGTTTGTAAAACAGTTTCTAATGTCATACTACAAATATCTTTGGCGATAAATATTATGTATCACAGCTTGTTTAAGCATGAATATTTATTTCATGTTCTTCCTTTAAATAAAAAGTGGGCTTCCATTGTGAAGATCATTGTAATTTCAAAATAGTTATTTCCTATGTTAAGTTAATAACCCATTCTTTTTATTCTGTCATTGTTAATTAGAATAATTCGTCATAGTTGTAATTATTTTGAAAAAGGAAAGTGACGCAACAATAGTGCAAAAGAAAAGCGTGCGCACTAAAGCAAGTATTAATTGCTGAAAATTCCATTATGGCGCTACTATTGAAAATATGAAATCAGGTGGGTTCCAGGATGCACAGTGCACGTGGGTATACAATTTCAAAAAGTTATCATACGAAAGATTGACACGTGCTTTGATGTAAATATGTTATAAATTAATTTTGACGGATATTATATCAACAGTTTGAATAATTAAAGCTCCAACATGTATAAGGTACATTTAGTGTTTGTCAAAAATATAAGTATTATAATATTAATATAACCTTCAAATGCAATACAGCGTAACTTGTGTAAACGTCGGATATTTCAGGCAAATATAGATGATTTTTTAAGTCACTCTGACGATTCTGCATCTGAAAGTGCTCATAGTACTAATGATGAAATTCATCAAAATACAGATCAAGAAGAGGAAGAAGATGAAGAAGATCAAGAAGATCAATATGATCAATATGACCAAGAAGATGAAGAAAGAGCACAAATGGAAGAAATGGATGTACAAAATTATCATATGACATTGGATAAAAAGAAAAGAAAAGTTACAGATGATGATACAAATACTATATTAAAAAAAAAGCAAAAATTCAATAAAGATTTATATAAACCACCAACTGCAGAGGAATTAAATCAGCTCAGAGAGACAGAGAATTTATTCCATTCTAATTTATTCAGGTTACAGATAGAAGAAGTGTTAAATGAAATTAAAGTTAAAGACAAGTACAAACATTTATTTAATGTGTGGCTTGAAGATTTTGAGAAAAATATAAAATTGATAAAAGAATCAAAGGAATATCAAGTATGTATTTTAGTATCATTGAAGGTTTATAAATTAAAATAGAATATATTATAATTTATGAGTTTAGTTTTCAGATCCAAAATTAAAGAAGAAATTAGATGTACGTATTCCTATGCCTAATGTTCCAGAAGATACAAAAGCAACATTTAAATTTCTGCAACCATCTAATATTGCTGTTATAGGATCTTATGCTATTGATACTACTATAAATTCAAATGTTACTGTAGATTTAACAATTGAGATGCCTTCTAAAATGTTTCACAAGCAAGATTATCAAAATTATAGATATCTAAAAAAGAAAGCAATATATTTGGCATATATAACATCTCATATCAGGGATAATATTGCTGAACACAAAAAATTTGTAGGAGATAATTTAAGGCCACTTTTGAAAATAGTTCCAACTGGAAAATTAGGTACAAAAGTCAATGTACTGATACATATATCAGTTCAAGAAGAAAGCTTCAAACTAAATAGATTCTTACCAGAGAAAAATAGTATTAGACCTGGATGGTTTTTCAACACAGAGAGTGGTATGTTTTGAATATGTTATTGGTCTTTATATGATATATAACTTTCATAAATATCTTGTTGTAGGAACAGAGGATTTACCTCCAACACCATATTATAATTCCATAGTGCTTCACGATTTAACAGTGAAAATAAATTCAGAAAATATGAAAATAATAAAAGAATATCCTAATTTAAGGGATGGTATCATTTTGTTGAAAATATGGTTAGCTCAACGTGGACTAGGAAAAGGTTTTGAAGGTTTCAATGGATATATTGTAACAATGCTTGTTTTATACTTATTATCAATTAAAAAATTAAATACTTTTATGAGCAGTTATCAAGTAATCAGAAATGTGTGGAATTATTTAGGTATTGTACCTTTTAAACAAGTACAGTGGATAAACATTGATATGAGTATATTATTAATAATTAACATTTTATATTACTAGCACAAGTTAATCTATATGAAACTGGAATAACAATGAATCAAGATGAAGATTGTAAAACAAGAATTTTAAATTATCACCAATATTATGAATGTGTATTTTTAGACAGTACTGGTTACTATAATATCACAGCTCACACACCTACAACTACTTATAAGTGGATACAGAGGGAGGCTGCACTTTGTTTAAATCATTTAGATAGTGCACATGCTGATAGTTTTCAAGCACTTTTTATGAGAAAAGTACCATTTCATAGGGCATTTGATCATCTTATATGGTAATTAATTTAAAATGTTATAATTAAAGTATAGTGTTAAACTAACTTCTAAAAGAATAATAATAAAAAAAATATATAGGTTTAAAGATACTCAAGTACTGAAAAACATAGTAGATATTAATTCAAGTCAAAATGATAAATTAAATTATGGGTCTAATTATCGAGCTCAAGCAATAAAAATTGTTTATAACATGCTAAAAGAAGGATTAAAAAATAGAGTATATCGGATTTGTGTGTTACCGAATGAAATTTCAGAATGGGACTGTACAGAAAAAAATGACAATGATATTGGGCAAATTTTTATGGGATTAGAATTGAACCCTGAATTTTGTTATAATATAGTTGAGAAGGGACCTGAAGCAAATTTACCAGAAGTAAGTGAATTATTTAAACACGAGCAAACAAAATCAAATTTTTTTCTATATATTGAATATTATATTCCAGGCAAATGAATTTAGAAAATTTTGGGGTAAGAAATCAGAATTACGTCGATTTCAAGATGGATCTATTCGTGAAGCAGTAGTTTGGTCAAAAGGAAAAACATTATCAGGGAAAAGACTAATTTGCAAAAAAATTGTAACTTATCTACTGACTAAAAAATTAAATTTTCTTAAAGACCAATTTATTTATATAGCAGACGAAATGGAAGAATTATTAAGATTGCCAAAGGTAACAATAGTAACTTCTGTCAACTCTTTCACTTGTGTAAATAAAAAAGAACATTGTATAAATTATAGTGTGATATTTAGGTCAAAATAACACATTTTGCATATGGCACAGGAGAAGAAGCTACATTAAGAGTGATAAATGTATTTAATGATCTTGAAAAAGAATTGATGTCTCTTAAAGATATTCCATTAGCTATACATGGAGTTCAGGGATGTAGTGCAGTTTTTCGATATACGGATACCTTTCCACCGCTAGCAACAGTTTATCGACCTGATCATCAATGTATTCAGAAAAATGAAAATTGTTTGATATTGAAATACATATATAAAGCTCCTAAATACGTTTGCCCACTTGAAGTAAATCTGCAGCTATCAACTAGTGGAAAATGGCCTGATGATATCGAAGCTTTCAGGAAAACAAAAGCTGCTTTTCATATACAAATTGCAGAATGCCTTAGAAACCAATATAATTTAGTGTCAAGTGCAAATTTATCACACGTCGATGTATATAAGGTTAGTACAAGAAGGAGAATTTGTCATAATAAAGGTAATCAATTTGTAAAAAAGGGAATATTATTTTAGGAAGGATTCGTATTTCGATTGAGAGTAGCACACCAGAAAGAAATTGGTTGTCTAAAACAACAAATAACTGAGGATGGAGTAACAAAGTACAAAGACAATGAAGAATCAATTGAACTGGAAAATAATTTATTCGAACTGCCAAAACTAACTAGTGCTTTACATGGGTACGAATAATTTTTATAAATAATTTCTGTTTATATATATCTATAATCAAAATTATATTTTTCACATAATAGATTACATGTTCAGCAACCATCTTTTGGCGGAACCTGTTGTTTAGCGAAACGTTGGCTCTCTGCCCAATTATTGGATCATTCCCATATACCAGATGTAGTAGTTGATCTTCTTGTTGCTTCTATGTACTTAACTCCTGCACCATATGTGCCTACTCAAATGCCACAAGTAGCATTTTTGAGACTGTTAGAAATTTTTGCAAGGGGTCATTGGAATACAGATCCGGTTATTATTAATTTCAATAACGAAATGACAAGTGAGTATTTAAATAATAATATCATTGATTATTGTTTGTACTATTTATAACGTGACGTTTCATTGTAGGAGAAGAAATATTAGCTGTGGAAACGTTTTTCGGTTCATCTCGTAACTCTCTACCACCACTATTTATATCTACTCCTTATGACCAGCAAAGATCATTATGGACTAGAAAAGCACCAACTACTTTAATCTTAAATCGTATTACAGCACTAGCGAGGCAGTCTTTAAAATTATTTGAGGATCAGATTTTTTCAAAAGTTATATTGGATTGCAAACCTTTATTTAGGCCACCGCTCACAGAATATGATTGTCTAATAAATTTGAGACCAACTATGGTGCCAAGGAGGATGCAGGCAGTTGATCTTGACGACGAATATCCACTCCTTGATTGGCATCCGTACAGAAAGCACTCACAACAAAAGATACCAGTTGTGGATTTTGATCCTGTACAGTATTTCTTACGAGATCTTAGGGTAAATTATAACATCTTTGCATACATCCTATTGTTCTATAATTCTGATCGATCATTAAATGTATGTATTTTTTTCAGAATGGGTACGATGAATTTGCTTTATTTTTCTATGACACTTACGGTGGTACTACAATAGGAGTACTGTTGAAACCTTCAGCATTAGAAATTAAAGAATTTAAGGTATCAAACATTAATGGTCGAAAATGTAATGACGATGATCAATTAATTCTAAATGTTTCGGCAATGATTCAAGACTTTTACATTCTCGGAAAGGATCTGATTCAAACGATTGATATTCGATCAGACAAGTTTTCTTTAACTTGAACAATTTTGAAGTCATAAATATACAAAAATTAAATTTTGTATAATATAAAAAGCATGTTTACAACATAAAATAAATTTTTTTATCAATTAATTCACAATTTACTTACCATTTCTTCAATAAAATGGATCAGACAATTGATACTACTCGAACTTTTACGGAACACGACGATACCGTCCACAACAATATTAAAGAATTTTAACAAATTAGTTAATAAAGATATATTTCGTAATATATTACATATAAAAAAAATATGTAATTACTTCATCATTAAAGACCTTATCTCTGCATTTAATTTCATAATAACTGTATCATCGATTGTATAACTTCCTGTTTTTAGAAGAGAATTACGTTCTTCTAGTAACGCTTGAAGTCGTTTATCATATTCCTCCGATTTCTTTAATGTACTTTTATTACTGTTCGGCATAATTTTCGAATCTACCGAAGTTGGTGTAAATACTTGACAATACACGCCTTTGTCAGTAAAGGATGATTTGGGTTTAATAACGTCAATTTCTTTTTGAATTTCGCTCAATAAAACTTGGTCGTTAGTCAAGGCATTAGAATCTGCAGACAGTATCTCCTCTAAACTATATAAAATGTATCTCATTGTATTAATACATTTTATAATGTATTGAATATAAAAATTATATACTTACTCCAAGTTTTGCAATTGTTCCTTACTGCTTTTTATTTGAACTTGTCTAGCTTCTTGAAATTCTCTTCTCATGCAGTGCATTTCACGAACTGCCTTGGCCCATTGTTCTTTGAAAAAAGATTTATTTTCTTGTGCATTTTGTAATTTTTCTTCAAGAATTTTTAATTCTAGTAATAAGTTTGTAGTTTGATCTTGTGTTAAAGAACCTTTCTGATAACTTTCTAATTCTTCAGACTGCTTCATTACAGTCAGTTGTAATCTTTCATTTTCATTACTTAGTTGATCAATTTGTGCTTCTAGAGTTGTTTTTTTCTTCTCAAGAATGTCGATCTATAAACCATCAAAAGCATGTAATTCCTTAATCGGTATATAAATCAAATTCCTTTACAAACCTTTGTTGTAAGTTCTTCTTGCATTGAATGAAATGATTCTTTAAGTTTTTTTATGGTTGATTCATATCTACACTGTAAATCTTCGTTTGCTTTCACCAATTTAGTTTCCTTTTCAAGACTTTTTAATCTTCGTGTTTTTAAATCTTCTGTAGCATTACTTAAACTATTTGCAAGCATTTTACATTGATTAACACTACAAGCAAGTTTTGCTTCCAAATTTTCTTTATGTTTTTGCCATTCTTGACTCAGTAAATTTAAATGACGATCTTCCTTTCTTTTTAACTAAATTATTCAGAAAAATTATAAATGGTGAAAATCTTATACACAATCAAATTTTCATTTACTATACACATTTGTATACCTCAACTTTAAATATTTCCATTTGTCTTTCTTTCCACGTTTCTAACTCATCAACTATTTTATAAGCTAAACTATCATCTAAAATAGGAGGTCCTAAATATTCACCTAATGTATAAATATAAATTATACACATTAGAAAAGTCAAAAGTAAGTAATATAAAAGTTTTTAGCATGAACTCCTTACTTTGTGCATTTTTTCCAATTCTATAATATGGACCACAATCCTCTAAATTTAGTAGAACGTCTAAATTGCCAACAATATTTTGTTCCATATCATATAATGGTACATCACATAAGTATTCAGCCTAAAATACATTGACTGAATTCTAATAAGAACATACAAATATATAATATTATTCTTTATGTCACATTACCTTATTTTGATAGAATAATTGTTTAATATCAACTATACTTTGGCATATACATATTTTCGAATTTCCTTCTTCTTTATGTATAGTGATTTTTGGTGGAAAAGATAGCAATAACTGTTTAATTTCATCTATTGCTGATATAAAATGTAATTTACATCCTATATCTTGTAACTTTATTTTCTCTCCCAAAGAAAATGGTATGTTGGGATAAAATGTTGATACAATTTCAGTTTTTGGGTGGTGAAGTCTGAGTTCAAAAAGAGGTATGTATTTAGATCAAATATATTCCCACAGATATACATAAGAAGCTGAATTGAATAATACCGAATTTCTGCAGCTTTTGTCACTAGCACAGGAGATCTTAATTTGATTGCTATAAATCGAATATTTAAACAATAACAGTGGTATGCTTCTACACTATTAGAGTAGTCATTAATATTAGAGGGCAGTACATCAGTTGATTGTGAACATGCAGTCTCAATGAACTGTTTTTTGTTAAATTCACAATTTAGAGATGGTTTATTTATATTGTTATATTTATTTGTAAAGTTAACCAATGGAGCATCTGTGGAATATTTTCCAAAATCACCTGCAGGATTTCTGTGGCAATCTATTTCACTTGCATGCGATTTCTAAAATGACAGCAAAAAGAAATTGTTGTTCTTTATTTGCGAGATTATAATTTATTAACAAAAAACTTACTATTTGATTTAAATTAGTTTTCAGTTCTTTCATGGAATTAGGAACAAGAGAATCACTGATCATAGTATTAGCAGTCTCTGTTACTACATCTGTATTACCTCCTGCATATTGCAATTTTAGCTGCAAATCAAGATATGAATTTCTAGCTTTTGCATCATCAATTTCATTTTTTTTGCGCAAGTAACATCGTTGTTGTAAAATACTGCTACTACTTTCTGTGTTTTTGAGAAATTCTTCAATACTATCAGTAGGAACTAGCGGTTGTAAATTTACTTCTGATTCACCCAAAATATCTTCTTTATATTTCAGATATATAAACAAAAAAGGTTTTAACTCTAAATAATCTTTCAGGACTCTTAATGAACTTCTGATCCTTATTACAATTTTCTCATTAAGCACCCAAAGGTCTCCACAATCTTTTTTAGGTCGATTAAAGTACATATCATTTTCTAATAGTTTACACCAAAAATACAAATCATTGTTTATATCTGTGCAATTTGTTGGTAACAATGAATGTAAATTCATTGCAGATATAGCTTTGATACTCAATAAAAATAATTCATAACAAGTATTTATAGGACCCAATTGTATAAGACGTTCATCATGAAGCAAAACTGGAACTATTTTAGAAGATTCAGTTGTTTGTTGATATAATTCTCTATCTTTTAACTGTAATTTTATATTTTTAATGAAGCATTTATAAATATTTGTGATATTATATATATTAATAACTAAGCATTTACCTCCAACTTGGAATTTAATGTTGCAGGTTCTCTATAACAAACACTTAAAGCCAAAAGTAATTCAGGTTTATGCATTTTAAAATGACCTCTGGACCCTACTAATTTATGCCAATTAGCTGATACAACAGAATCAGTATTTTTAGAAATAACTTGTGCAGATCGTAAATTAAGTAGGAGGTACCCTAATTTTTCTTTGCATTCTACACTTTTAACAGCAAAATACTCTATCTTTAACGGAACTTGCCCAGATCTCATTCTATAAAATAAAAACTATGCTTTAGAAATAACTATTTGCGCGCAATAACTATTTCATCATATTCAACATACTTTCGTACTTTCTTTTCATCAAGTTCCCATACCAAATCATAATTGTATTGAGGATTAGGGTCTGGTTCTATAATTTCAGTTTCTAAAGAATGTCCATTGAGTGTTGCAATGATTAACATGGGCAGTGAAATTTCTTCAAAACCCTTACCTAAAAAGTTAACAGAAAACATCATTTTATACCCAAATATATGTTATTAATATCCAAGAATATATTGGATTAATTTAATAGTTTTACTAAACATAGTAGAACGTGCAATTGATGTACAGTAGATAAACATGTTAAATTAATATTGTTATTACAATGTCAAATATGATATAAAATTTACCTTCTTTTATATTTAATATAATTCGAGTATCAAAATTTACGGATGACTGCATCGTATCGTAATATAATACACAAAAATACTACAAATAAATTCCATAAACATTTAACGAATATCAAAGAGGTCAGTAAAATTCAAACTGGTTGCTATGGAAACACAGGACTTAATGCGCCATTTAGAAATACAATGGATTAATTTAAGAAACGGTACAATCTCGGTCATAAATTATAAAAAAATGAAGTAGTTTTAAAATCGACGTATAGAAAAAATGTTGTAAATGCAATTATCATAGTATTTTCTTCCAACCCTTTTGAAATTTCAAATGAGCGCCAATGGTACGTCATTCAACATAGACGACGAATTAGTTACGCATAATTGCTCGATAATAATTAACAGATACTCGTGAAGGATCAATACATAAATCATTTCCATAACGTCATAGGCTTGTATGCTTTCTGCAAATAGTTTCAATATATTGAAAAAAGTAGACTTTTAAAATATTAAATAAATATGATTGTTCACAAGGGAGGGCGTTGTCGTCAACACGAAATTGAGAACGTGCCTTTAATTTCGTTTCGAGTTGGCAGCACTGTCGGCCTCGTAACAAATCTCACCCATGTCGAGTTGAGCGCGAGAGACAGAAGCGTGAGCTTGTACGTGATCGTTTGTCCGCGTTCGACGGATCTTTCAAATAGCGTGCGTGCGATCGGTAGACGGTAGACGATCAGAAAAAAGTACGTTCGTAAAATCAGTTAGGCAAGGGGCGGTCGGTAAAATCTCGGGAAGATAGACCGCGAGGGACAGCATTAATCCCCGGCCTTGTGTACGTACTGGCACACGATAGCCGATCGGGCATACTGGTGACACGACTGCGGATTTTCCTTAGTCAAGAGAGAACATACGAAGCTCGTAAAGCGCGTGTGCTCGTGTGCGTGTCACTGGGAAGAGTTCAGAGCCGCTTCGGCGGCGCTCCCAAATCTAACCGCAGAATCGAGTCTGCGGTGGTGAGTGGTGGTTTTATCGGAGCACGTCTCAAGTACGATCGCGATCGCACGCGGCGGGGTCGTTTGTAATGGAGGAGGTTTCGGAGTGTATTCCCGTACGACGGAACAGTGTCGGCGATGCACGCCGTATCGACTGAAACGCGATATTTATCTTTAACCATTCCTCCCGGCCGGCCGGGCGAAAGAGGCAGGTCGAAATTGGTATGGAATCGTCCAGGGTCCTCGACACTCGGAACACTCGCTCCCGTCTGTGATAAACCACTAGCCGTTTAGAAGGAGACAGAAGAAGGGAAAAGAAGAGATAGCTGTGCGTGTGTTTCGCGCGTGTTCTCGTCTGCCCTCTTCATCTCGTATTAAGTGTAAACATTTCCTGAAATCCGCTGCGAGGTTAGGATAGCATGGGGATTGATCCCCTGAAGGCATCGACCGACTCGCCGTGACACCTGCGACTCGCCGTACGGTGTTTGTGCGTGCGTGTATGTGCGTGCTTGTGTATGTATCCTCCCAGGAAGCCGTTGGAGTATTATTTCCACCGGTTACCGTCCAAGGGAAGACCAAAGAAGAAAATATGTCAAGAATGGGGATCGATCCCCGAGATAACGTACATTGTCGCTGTTAATCGACCGGGCACACGTCGGGAATTTTCATCGTTCATTCGAACCTTTCTGTCACGTTAAACAGACTATCTCTGCCGCGACACAGGACACTCGCAACATGCAGAAAAGAGACGGTAGGGATACTCGCGAGAAGGAGCACGCTCGTAGCTCCGAGCGTGAACAGGAAGCCACGAAGAGAACCTCTCGCGGTAGCGGTAATGCTGCCAGATCCAACGTGCATTCCTCAAGGCATAGTGACTCCTCCGCCCCCACTGTACTCATGGTCGGCCCCAATTTTCGTGTCGGCAAGAAAATTGGCTCTGGCAATTTCGGAGAACTTCGGCTAGGTGAGTCTTTCTTCTATTTCTTTTATCTATTTTTTTTTAATCTAACGTTTAACGTTCCTGCTCGATCGTGCACGTTTCGCGTTACGTGTAACGACACGCGTTGGGTCAACGGTTAATATCCGCGCGTGAAAGTGGCTTCTTTGACGGTAGATCGAACAAAATGGAGTGGCTCGAAATTTCTTTCTAACCTTTCGGAACTGTCGCGCTGCGGTAACGAACGGAACCTTAAAGCGAAATTTCCTTCCGATCGATCTCGATGGAATTCGTTTCAGCTGATCTCGCGACCGAGATCGTTCGTTTCGTTTCCTATGTTATCCGCGCATTCTTCCCTAGTTTTCTGTTTATCGCCGTTTCACGAATTGCGAAATATTTTAGGGTCCTCGACACTCGGAACACTCGCTCCCGTCTGTGATAAACCACTAGCCGTTTAGAAGGAGACAGAAGAAGGGAAAAGAAGAGATAGCTGTGCGTGTGTTTCGCGCGTGTTCTCGTCTGCCCTCTTCATCTCGTATTAAGTGTAAACATTTCCTGAAATCCGCTGCGAGGTTAGGATAGCATGGGGATTGATCCCCTGAAGGCATCGACCGACTCGCCGTGACACCTGCGACTCGCCGTACGGTGTTTGTGCGTGCGTGTATGTGCGTGCTTGTGTATGTATCCTCCCAGGAAGCCGTTGGAGTATTATTTCCACCGGTTACCGTCCAAGGGAAGACCAAAGAAGAAAATATGTCAAGAATGGGGATCGATCCCCGAGATAACGTACATTGTCGCTGTTAATCGACCGGGCACACGTCGGGAATTTTCATCGTTCATTCGAACCTTTCTGTCACGTTAAACAGACTATCTCTGCCGCGACACAGGACACTCGCAACATGCAGAAAAGAGACGGTAGGGATACTCGCGAGAAGGAGCACGCTCGTAGCTCCGAGCGTGAACAGGAAGCCACGAAGAGAACCTCTCGCGGTAGCGGTAATGCTGCCAGATCCAACGTGCATTCCTCAAGGCATAGTGACTCCTCCGCCCCCACTGTACTCATGGTCGGCCCCAATTTTCGTGTCGGCAAGAAAATTGGCTCTGGCAATTTCGGAGAACTTCGGCTAGGTGAGTCTTTCTTCTATTTCTTTTATCTATTTTTTTTTAATCTAACGTTTAACGTTCCTGCTCGATCGTGCACGTTTCGCGTTACGTGTAACGACACGCGTTGGGTCAACGGTTAATATCCGCGCGTGAAAGTGGCTTCTTTGACGGTAGATCGAACAAAATGGAGTGGCTCGAAATTTCTTTCTAACCTTTCGGAACTGTCGCGCTGCGGTAACGAACGGAACCTTAAAGCGAAATTTCCTTCCGATCGATCTCGATGGAATTCGTTTCAGCTGATCTCGCGACCGAGATCGTTCGTTTCGTTTCCTATGTTATCCGCGCATTCTTCCCTAGTTTTCTGTTTATCGCCGTTTCACGAATTGCGAAATATTTTTCGAATCGCTTCTGACGAATCTGTCTCGGTGTAAATTCGTAGATGCTTTTCGTACATGCTTCGAATGCATCGTTTATCATTAAATTTCGTGTCTTACACGAGTGACGTAATTCTACGATAATTTTATATCGTTTATCTGTGTCGAGAGAGAGAGTATATCGAGTATACAGATGTTTATGTTGGCCGATTACGACTTTATTGCCCTGTATGTTTACGGTACCTTTAAATGGATGAATCACTTAACCCTTTTCACTTCGTCGGTTGTCATTCGACTGTTATTATTTTTTTTAACTAAATTGCGGCAATATTTTTCTGCAAAAGAAAACAAGACCGAATTCTGCCAACTTGAAACGTTTTATATATAAAACATTTATGTCGCTATGCATCAACCTTTTAGTCTTGCACTAAACACTGTTTATGGTTGGATAGGAAAGCTATAGCTACGTAATGTGTAAGTTACATTACGACAGATAAATATTATCTATATAGGCAACTCGTATTTCTATGACGGAAACTCTTAACGGATTCTTTACTGTTACGGTGCAAATATCAATGTTTAGCACGGCATATTATTAGGAGAATGTTAAGTTTTCAATTTGCTATCTTGGATGTCGCTTTAGGATGTTAGCAGAAAAATTCTTAGAATTATAAAAATTCTTAGTTACAATGTAACTCGAAATGTAACGAAAGGAACGAATTTTTAAGCTACTCTAATTTTCTAATTTGGAACACGTCAATTAAGTATTCTGACCTATCTAACGGTTATACAACTAATGTAGAAACTACAAAGGTTTGTGTTCTCAAAGGAATCAAGTACTTAGGTGAGCCTTGCTCCTCAAGAAACTTGTATAACTATCGAAGTTTGGAAACCTTCCTCGATTTCGGTGTGTGGATTAAGCTCGAAGTTTCAGTGTTTCCGTATAGAGAAATAATGAAAAACCTTAATAAAGAAACTTGCACTTTCGCACGTTTATTTTCAAGAAATTTTTTGTGGTTCAGCTTCGAATCCGTAGTCAATATAAAAACTTAGTTCTTTTTTTAAAGAAACATAGTTTGCACGTAGCAGGTATAGACAGTATTTACCGTGTAAATATTACAGAAGAATCGAGTCTATGTCATCAAGGTATGCACTTTACTTTGAACTTCGAGTATAACATGTGTTGTCTCGTAAAGTGTTAGAATCCGTCTGAAATTGAAGAAGTATTAAAAGCTATTTAAAGGTGGTAATTCGCTGAGCGACAGTTATTAGCTCATTATCTTTCTGGTCTCTCAATTTCAGAACGTTTTCACTGTTATATAAAAGTATCAAAGTACCTGTTGACGATTTCACGATTTGTCTCGCAGGAAGCTTAATAAGCCACAGCTGCGAAGGAAAACTTTTGAACGATAGTATACGTCTGAGCAAAACATGAATTAAAGTTGTTCTTGTCGGGTCTCTTTTCCGTTGTCTTTCTAAAATCGTACACGATGCTATGGTAAATATAGCTTGTATCGCGGAACGTGTTTACACGTTATCGGTTGAATTATTACCCAACTGCAAGTGGTCTCTCGCGTTGTCCTTATCACTGTATCGCGCACAGTTGGCTGATATTTCAGAATTAAGACTGCTGTTCAACTTTCGCAAGCTGTCTATTCTACTCGAGCTCGTTTGAACGTCGAGACTACAAAATTTTAGCCTCTTGTGATTCATCCTCGAATGATCAGCCACGTGTGAATCCCCATTTAGTTCTTCTGCTTCGTCGGTTTAAAATCCCTCCGACAAATTCAGACCGCGCTCTGCCTTCTGTTCGAACGCTTTGCCATTCGACTAATGTCCCTTCTTTGTATACGCTTCTTATTACTGTTCCAGGATTTCGGTTTTCAAGCTCGTTTCTTTGTACAATTTTTACTTACAAACTCAGTCCTTTTCCAGTATCGATACCAATGTACAGCGTGGAGAAAATCAATTGGCGAAATTCCGAATTTCCAAAGGTTTTACTATGTTGCAATTTGTAGTGAAGTTTCTTTGATCTACAGAGTAGAGGACGTCTCGATAAAACTGATAACAGCAATTGCTCGGAAACGGGTAATCTATGTTTCGTGGTATTAGTAACAGGAAGCGCGATCGTTCGATTTTGATCGTTTTAACTACGGAAATACAGGGGAATCATGGACAATGCTTATCCAGGAAAATAGAAATTAACGGGGTGTCGTACGCGTTTAGTTAACGGTATTTACTCGGAGAAAAAGCTGTGGTTGTTAATAATAGTTGGTCCGGATACGCACGTGCTCGTATGCAATTACCAGCGGCGATTTTAATTTACGAGCGACAATAACTGCGGTACTAACGATTTAGCGACATTATCTCTCGATAAGTTAGCGCTACGAGAGGTCGGTCGCGTTTCGTAGCTCGGTTGTCGATGATATGACTCATTCTTAATATTGAAACGTTGTCGTACGATTGCACAGGCCTTTTTGTCGTTCGCGCTTACTACATAAGATCAGACTACACGACAACATCGTTTTCATTCCATTCGCTGAAACTCTGTATCGATTTGTGCACGGGCCAACTGGTCGGTATAAATAAAATCCATGATGTAGGACTTCCATAATTTATGATCCTGCATGAATTCGAACCACGTTCGTAATAATACCCCGAAGAAAGTGTCATTTCCCACTCGATCCTTGCGAAAATCGAAAGGTTTACGTTCGATTCGCCTTATACGATATTGCACTTAATGGCTGCTTCTTTTATTCTGTTCGCTTAGGCCTTTGTTATATCGAAACAGGTGTTATTCGGGAGAGCCTGAAAGATCAGGGGAGAGTCGAAATCCAGAGAAAGCCTGGAGCCCTAAAAGAGGTCAGGTTTTAAACTCGGATGATATCGGAACCAAGATGCGTCGATATCGTCGAATCGATGATTGCATCGATTGGGTTAGTGCCTGAGTCGCAGTTGCTTTACATTCGAACGATTTCATGGGTAGCAATAAAGGTGTATTAATACCGGTTGTTCTTGTTCGTGGACGTTTGTCGTTCGACTAAATCACTGAAGTGTGAAGCGTACGAATGCTTCTATCGATACTCTCGATACTACTTTTGTCCCCGGTGCAATTATTCGATTCTCGTAAGTTATAAACCGTGTTTCGATCGAGCCGTTTTGTGTAATACTTTATTCAACTTTCTTCTGCAACATACGTGTAACAAATAAGCTTCGTTATAATAGCACGTCAAGGTCGTATTTTTATAGATTTTAACCGATTGCACGTGGAATCTTGCTGAGTATCTTGTCGAGATTTCGCATTGTTTCATTGTGTTCACATTATGGATGATTAACGAGCAATTAACCGTTCATTATCTTAATGCAACGATTATAAAGAGAGACACGCTACCGATTCGTCCGCTATTCCATTAATACTAAGTGCAGTCTGGTACTTTGAATTCAGCGTTGCTACCTTTCATCGATGCATCGAATCAGCAATCGAACGGTCATTTCAACGCGTACAAAGTCTCACACCTTGCAGTGCAAAATTTCTTCCTTATCAATTCGAAAAATAAAAATTAATTTGTGTCATGGGAAAATACAAACTCGAAACGCGTATTATGCTAGGTAATTGGATTCTTATTCCTACAATATTCTTACAATTATAAAGACGCTTATCACTCAGCGTTGATCGATCAGACAATAACGACAACGACGAGGAGACGGTCATCGAAGTCGTGACTCGTTCGGCACGGAATGCAAAACCGATCGTCTTTGCGGGTCTCTCGAGCCACGTGGTGCCATTAACGTGTATCGCACACACTCGTGTTATCAGTTTATCACCTTCCTCGTTGCTTTGGACGACCGTAAATGCACTTAGCCGACTCCGATCCAAGACGTGGTCAATTGTTGCGTTTACCTGCAGCTCCTCGAATCGCTGTATTATCGGTCGGTGTACATCAAATTGCTCTCCGAACCAAATTCACCAACGTTTTCCACGGTGTCCGTTATAAAAACAATTTTACGAAACGCGTACACGCCTCGGCAATCTTTCGCGATACACGTACATATATTTTGCATCGGCCTCGATCGCGTGAACGCTTAGCGAAGTGTGTTCGCGTGGAATAACTCGAGGACGCGTTTATTGATTCAAGAGCGATGCACGACAGAGAAATCTCTGCTCTGTTAACGATCAGCCGATGCTGGCCACTGATTTTAGCTTTGGACGTTTTCAGTGTCGAGTAGTTCCAAGAATCTAACGTTACATCGAATGGAAACGGTGACGCGCGGCGATTTAACGCACGGAGACTCTCGACAGGCGTGGAGAATCGTTTGCAAAAGATTTTCTATACGTTCTACGGATCGAAAGGATTAATTCGATATTCCTGGTTGAGCCGCGCTGTTTTAATTGCATTTCGCAGTAATCTGTTTCATAGTCATTCGCGTAAAACCGGTCAAACGAAAATGGTAAAACGATTTTAATATCGATGTTCGTTAGCTGAGCTAGCTGTCGTTTATTTGGAACCTTGAGGAGCTCGTATGGAAACAGGAAGTACGAAATTCCAAACCGTAAGCCACAGAGTGGCGTACGTAAAACCGATCTTCCGGTCGTACCTGAGGGGGTCGATCCCGTCTGTTATTAGGTTCCCACGGTTACGTTCTAGGGAA